AGGCAAATATTTAGGTAATTTATTCTTTAACAATGACAATTAAAACAAATGTAAAACCAGACAATATCAAGGAAGACCCACTTTCTAAAATATTGATATATAACAAAAGTATTTTAAAATGATTAAATCAAACAAGAAACATTAAGCATCACTTTTTTATTTCCTATTCATACAAAATTTATGTGGAAATTTGATATGTTTCTATAAAGAAAACCCAGGTAGTGTCTTGTCATTTTTACATTTCAGGATATCAATAATATGACAATATGAAATAAATGGGGAATGTGTCCATGGGACACATATGATCATCCCCCGCTTGCATATCATATAAAGTTATAAAGGGACAAAACTGAAGAACGTTAAAAGTGACGCTACCCAAATTTGTACTTGATCTGAGTTTTGTGGTAATAAGTATTGTGTATAAGTTTCATAACATTTGGTTGAGGCAAACTTAAGTTAGAGAACAGAAACAAAAAATTCAGCAATTTTTCCATTTGTAAAGGGGCATAACTCTAGAACAGTAAAAGTGATACCAACAAAATTCCATCTTGATCTGTGTTTTGTGATAAGAAGCATCGTGTATAAGTTTCATAACATTTGGTTGAGGCAAACTAAAGTAAGATAACGGAAACGAAAAATTAAGCAATTTTTCCACTTGTAAAGGGGCATAACTCTAGAATGGTTAAAGTGACGTACACCACCAAAATTCAAACTTGATCTGTATTTTGTGGTAATAAGCATTGTGTATAAGTTTCATAACATTTGGTTGATGCAAACTAAAGTTAGAGAACAGAAATGAAACATTCAGCAATTTTTCCATTTGTAAAGGGGCATAACTCTAGAACGGTTAAAGTGACGCCACCAAAATTCAAACTTGATGTGTGTTTTGTGGTAATAAGCATTTTGTATAAGTTTCATAACATTTGGTTGAAGCAATCTAAAGTTAGAGAATGGAAACCAACTTTGGGACGGACGGATGGACGGACGGACATACTTACAGACGGACAAGGGTAAAACTTAATGCCCCCTACGCTACGGCGGGGGCATAAAAATATTATCTACAAATAAAACCATAAAATTGAATAATAAATTAAAGTCTTAAAAGATGTCATATAGTAAACTTGGTTTATTAAATGGAGGTCATAAGAGACAGGCAAATGAATGTTTAGAAAGAACAAATTCCCATGTACATGTATGATGTAAAAACAGTGAAAGTAATGTCAAAAAGTCAAACACCTGCAAAAATAAAATTTTGAGAAACATATTCCAAGGATATATGAATGTAACGTTCCATGTAAAGATGCCAATATATATTTATGTATATAATCGACAATTCTAATGCAATTATGTTGTATCAATGTATCTGATTGGATGACAATAAGCATAAAATTCTCTATCTCCCTGTCTGTAACTAAGGAAGCCAACATTTTGAATTTCAGAATGTATTGACATGTAATTTCTCCAATAATAAGCAAAAAACTCACCTTTTGCACATAGAAATCTTCTTTAAATCAAATTTTATTACATTTTTGAAGCGGACAAAAAGCCAGAAAACGCCCGGTGTTTAAGTTTGATGCCGGAAGCATACCTATATGAAGTCACCTCGTTATGAGGCCAAAGAATATAACACCATTTCGCAGAATTTTCGTTAAATGAAAATTTTACACTGAAATAACGACTAAAATTGAATGATTTGTTTATTTTGCATTAGAAAAGAGATAACTGTATTGTATTTGAAGCTTTGCGGATGTCCATCGGTAGTTTTACTGTCGCAAATATCCGTTTACCTGTCTCCGCTACATGTCGCCAGGTAAACTCAATTTGCGACAGTAAAACTACCAATGGACGTCCGCAAAGCTTCAAATACAATACAGTTATCTCTAAAATCTTGGTTATTTTTTACTTGGCCTTCTGTTTCCATTTTGCAAGAATCTGAAACTCAAGTTTTGCAAATAACCTCTGAGAACCATGTGTTTTGGACAACCAAATTCGTGAAACAGACTTCCTGATAAGTCAGAAGCCAGAAAAACTTTTTTTTTCATATGAATTCTTTCTCTTAGTACGGTGTTCATACAGGAATAAATTCTTCATCTAATGAAAAGATCTATGACACTTAAGCATCATGATCATGTTATAAGAGATTTAGTCAACTGCTGTCTGCAGCAACCTTCTTGTATATTATGTTACTTCTTAATTAGATTCTTCTTTCACTTTCAGACATTATTGAAAACTTTGTCACATGTATTACATCTTATGGTACAATGTTATTACCTGTTAGATCTAATGTAACATCCTCTCTATCTTGTACAACTAATGCCAACTCTGTTACTATAACTCTATGTCGGTCATTTGGGACTGAAATGAAAATTTTTTTTGTCAGTAAAAAGATATTTGATCATGATAATATTTGCAGTGAACATGTATGTTGTACTATTTAGGCAAAGTCACACAAGAAGACATGAAGTAACTAAATTCACCAAACTGACTAAAACATACATAGAACTACAATAAATTGCTTCGCCAAGCGCAGCTGGATACGACCGCAGAGGTCCAACCCTGAACAGTTGGGGCAAAATTGGACACAATATTCGCGCTTGATACAGGAATGAATTTGGATTGTAATTAAATATTTGACACATAATAGGTTTCTGACACAGAATAACTGTAGTAAAAGAACTTAGAATTGGTTATAAGATTTGAATTTATATTCAAATTTTTGCTTTTGTGCAATACACTTTGCTGTTGCGAATTGACCCCCCCCCCCCCTTTTTTTTGTGTGTGCAATACACTATGCTGTGGCGGTCGTATAAAAATTGCTGAATTTTTCGTTTCTGTTCTCTAACCTTAGTTTGCCTCAACCAAATGTTATGAAACTTATACACAATACTTATTGTAAACCACAAATTACAGATCAAGTTTGAATTTTGGTGGTGTCATTTTAACCGTTCTAGAGTTATGCCTCTTTACAAATGGAAAAATTGCTGAATTTTTCGATTCCGTTCTCTAACTTTAGTTTGCCTCAACCAAATGTTATGAAACTTATACACAATGCTTCTTACCACAAAATACAGATCAAGTTTGAATTTTGGTGGTGTCACTTTAACCATTCTAGAGTTATGTATTTGTATAAAAAATTTTAAAAAATTTGTATAAAAATTGCTGAATTTTTTGTTTCCGTTCTCAAACCAAATGTTATGAAACTTATACACAATACTTATTACTACAAAACTCCATTTTCATTAAACTAGTACACATTTTTGTTTAGGGGCCAGCTGAAGCCTGCCTCTGGGTGCGGGATTTTCTTGCTGTGTTGAAGACCCATTGGTGGCCTTCGGCTGTTTTCTGCTCGTTGGTCGGGTTGTTGTCTCTTTGACCCATTCCCCATTTCCATTCTCAATTTTACTTGTTTAATTTGGCCAACTTAATTTCAGGAAAATTATTTCCCCCAATTCATAATACATCTTATAGATAATTAAGGCTTTGTTTAATTTAAGGGTTATAAATTAAGTTATTTGTACCTGCTGGGATCTACCACAGGTTCTTATATATGTTTTTTTTAATGCTCACTTGTCTGGGTTCTACCACAGGTTATTGCATTTTTCACCTGTCTGAGTTCTACCACAGGTTTCAAGAATTTTTACCTGTCCGGGTTCTACCACACAGGTTCTGATGAATTGTTTGACCTGTCTGGGTTCCAGCGCAGGTTCTTATAATTTTTTCACCTGTCTGGGTTCTACCAGAGGTTTTTATGAACAAAAAGCATCACCTGTCTGAGATCTACCACAGGTGCATAATTTAGGCAATTAATGAGTATAGGTAGTGTATTTGAGTTGTGTTATTTTAATTATTTTCATTGTAAGTTTTAATGAGTAGCCCCCTAGAAAGCCAAATGATACAATTATTGTTATTTCATGTATTTTAGAATTGTTTGTGAAGTGTGATATCTCTATAGTATTTATACAATTGTATCTTAGTATTAGTTTGTTAATAAAATTAGAAACAGTTATTAAAAGTTTTGTGTATGATATTATAGTATGAACAATGGCAAGCATATGGGTTCCTCCCAAATAAAACTCTTCCATTTCTATTCATAGTATCATATCAGTTATAGATAAATGTGGTAGGTACATGACACTGATTATTGTTTTATAGGTAAACACCAACTTGCAGACATCTGCTTATCAGTAATATGTATAAATTGACATTATATGTATCGTTGGTGAAATTGCAAACCATTGAAATATTTGACTTATAGAAAAAGGACTAATTCCAGCTGCACGTCTCTCTATACTTTCATGTAGAAGGCGACCCCCTGTGTTCCTCTTTTGGTCGGAAAGTCTTTTGAATATAAAAGCCAATATAAACTGGTTGTATTTTCCTAATGTCTGTCAAATGGTTATATGAGATTATTTAGGAACTAGTGATGTGTTAAATTACCCGTTATTTATCTTGGTTTCTGTCAATAAGTCAGTGATATACAGAGTTGTTGTTCTTGAATAATGGATGTCCTTATCTTTTGTGGAACAGGATAGTTAAAGCCCACTTCAAACAGGAGGCGTCCTTACATAATGATTGATTCTGCATGTACATTAAATAAAGTAAAGTGGTAAAAAAAATAGTTTAAACAAAAAGCTAGTCAGATTGAGAAAAAAAATTTAATTTGCAAGTGTGATAATTAGATTGCAGTTGTCATTCTATTAACCATTGCCTTATTGTTCTAGAAAACATTAGTACAAATGTACTATAATGATTGAGATTTGTAAATGGTTATGGAGAGATGAAAAATCTGTTTTTAAATTACAAGTTTATGAACTAGTACCTCCTGTTTGAAGTTATATGCAAGTGGGGAAATGATAAAGAGGTACTAAAAATAAATATGAATAGGAGAGGAGGAGTACTCAGCATGAAACAGCAACACAATAAAATAAGAAAAAAACATCTAGTTGTAAATTTGGCTTTGAACTTTATTAACAAAGATGCTTTACTTGTTTTTTTTTCAGTTATAAAAGATTTTATGGTACAGGGTGGTGATTTCTCCAACAAGAATGGTACAGGAGGAGAAAGCATATATGGAGAAAAATTTGAAGATGAAGGTTTTCCTTATACTGTAAGATTATAATGCTTATAAATGAAAAATATGATAGAAGGAAAATTTTGACAACAATCCAAAGGCAAAAGTTTATGAAAAGTTGAATTTTGATATGAATTTTAGATATGAATACAACATCCATTCAGACAGCTACCCAATGACACAGCAAAATCAAACAGTCTTAAATATAAGACAGTATGTCAAGATAATCTTTAAATCACCCTCTGTTTAGAGATGTTTTTAATTACTTTAAGGATGTTCGCTACTCTGTTTCAAAATAACAAGCTTTTTAAAAGACTGTTATAACTTGATAGTATATAATTGATAGTATATAAATAAATAAACTAAAAAAGCAGAAAAAAATTAAGGGTCCGTGTGCTTGTTTTCGAGATATAAGCCATTGAAAATTTGGCGGGAAATAATTCTCTCTAGCTTTTTCATACATTTAACATTGGCACATTTTTCTTTCAAAAACAATGAAAAAATAACAAGGATTTTATAAGATTTTCAAAGATGACATTTTAAACTATATGTAATCAAATTATGGAAAGAAAAGTAGGGGTTAGTGGGCAAAATTTTTAATGGCACTACATGGATAAAACCAGAGGATTTTGAATATCTGTCAAAAATTCAAAAATCAAGAGGAGCAAACATCCTTAACAGAGAATATCAAAGATCTTTCATTAACACTTAATTCCTCAAAAGACAAACACATTAAGACAGCCAATTACAAGGTACCAGAAATGGGACAGGCACATGAACCTTTGGCAGGATTAAAATTAACTTCATGAGATCTCAACTCGCCCCCATCTAATTTGGATCAGTTTATCAATAACATGAAAATATACAATACACACAAATAATCAGTACAGCAAAAGCACTTAACATTAGGATGATGGAATTGATAGATATATAACAAAAACAAAAGTACAAACAAACCAATAATAATCAATACATTGCTATATCAAAGAAAGATGGCAGATACTGAACAGAAATACAAAGTGCTCTTTTTGTAGGGTTAAACCAATGTTATGCAAAAAGCATTATTACTTGTTCGATACCAATTTTTGTGAATTCAATTGGTCAAGGTTAAACACGAATTAAAATGTTCAATGAAGTACAACATTTCTCTATGCTTCCATGCAGATTTTTGCAAAACCATGAAATCAAATTTCCACGAAAATAAGATTATTCCACAATCCAAATTAAATATCCAAAAAAATGAATGAATCCACAGTACACTATACGCCTGATTATTTGGGATATTATTATAGTACTCATTTTTAAGATTGTAAAGAGATCAGATTATTTCAATTCTCGTTAACATCATAGTTATGAAAACTTAAATAACATTTAACATATAATATTTTTCAGCATGATAAAGCAGGTCTACTCAGTATGGCCAATGCAGGTCCTGGAACTAATGGTTCACAGTTCTTCATCCTTTGTAAGCCTGCACATCATTTAGATGGTAAACATGTGGTGTTTGGTAAAGTTCTCAAGGGTATGGGAGTGGTCAGAACACTGGAAAATACAGAAAAGAATGAAGAAACACCTGTTAAGGTAAAGAAATACAGTGAAATTATTCTGACAAATTGGCAACTTCAGTTCTAAGACTTATGAATATAAATTTTGCACAGTCTCAGTGTAAATAAATGATGTTAATTCAATATATATGTGCCCATAACAAGACCTTATCAAAATGCAATATCTTTTACAACCGGTCTGTTCATTAAAAATGCCTGAATTTGGGGATTTAAGGTTAAGATTATATATTGCATACCATCTAATGGGAATACATATGCAATAAGTATATAGCTGTTATGCACAATCCTCTAGTGGGATATACATGATATAACATCAACAAGTCTAAATTGAAAACAATGTTCAAACCTATGATTGCGTTCAATAAAAACCACAATTTTTATACGTGTGCATGCAAAACAAATTTCTTGGTAGAGGGGTCTAAATACAGCACAAACAACATTTTTCAAAAGATCAAAAAAGTGAAAAAGTATATTTTAACAAAACACATTTGACTAGCAGGACGAACAACGGATGTCCTTAAACCCTGCTGACTGCCATGGCGATTGCCAAATAAACAGATCACCAGATGTAACAAAATGGATCTTAATTATTAATTTAATACCAAACAGAAAACAATAAACTTGCGAAAAAGATGGTATACTGCAAACATGAGGTGCAAAAATTAGTACACCATACAATTAATGTCTCTTCAGTGATGTTAGGAATAGAAATGGTATTTGGAAGGCCATATAATTTACCTCAATTTAGGATAGACTCTTTGAATTTTGAAGAGTCGAAATAGGATGAACGGATTATATAAACCCAAAGGCAAATATGATACAAGCCCAAACCAAAAAATATAAACAAGTCTAAATTGAAAACAACGTTCAAACATATGATTGCGTTGGATAAAAACCACAATTTTTATCCGTGTGCATGCAAAACAAATTTTTGGTAGAGGGGTCTAATTACAGCATGATATAACATCTATACTCACATTTGACTAGGAGAAACTTTCTGTGGAATACTGAGATTTTTTTTAAAATAAGAAGATATGGTATGGTTGCCTATATGACAACTATCTTCCAGCAGATTGTAAGCAACTATACCGGTAGTCCATGTACAGCCTTCAATAATAAGCAAAACTCATACCCTATAGTCAGCTATAAAAGATCCTGACATGACAAAATGTAAAACAACTGAAAAGAAAAAAGCATTATTTATGTACAAAACAATAAACAAATGACAAATATGATAAAGACACTAAAACAGTGACCAATTACAATCACTGAATTACAGGATTTTGACTTGGGGGCAGGCCCATAGAACGTGTGGGATGGTTAAACCTGTTTGCCATGTATGGGGTTGGACAAATCATTTGATGACTCCTGATATGAGAAATTGCCCTGAAATGATGATTTTTGACTAATTTATGAGTTTTTCCATATCTTGAAAACTATGATAGAAACTGTGAACAGCAAACATGATCAACTATACAAGATCTACAAAGGTGCTGTTATAATCGAAACAATTGATTGACTTCTTGCAGTAGTAAATGCCCAGAAATGACCATTTTGAATAAAAATTTAAGTTTTTGCCTATTGTCTCAAAATTTATAATAGTTAGGTAGCAACTGAAAACAGCTTACAAAATCTACAAAAATGCCGATATGACCAAATCCATTGGATGACTCTATATGAGAGTTATTGACCTTGCGAGACGATTTTTTACTTATTTTAGAGTGTTTGCCTATTATTTAATTTTTTGACAGATTTATGATTCAGCTCTTAGGAGCCTCTTGTTTTATACCCCACTGCTGATACTTTCTTTTTCCCATGTACATTGTATAACAGAACTGTATGCGCATTTACCACAGAAAAAATTATGACTGTGATGTCAAACCCTCCAGTACAGTGTTTTTTCCCTGGAATAGTCTTGATATGATGTATACTAAATACAGATTTATTTTTTTTTGCCAATAACCGCATATTTTTAATTTCAAATAATGTAATACCGGTATATCTGATTATTGACAGATAGAAAAGTTGATAAATATTACAGGATTATAATCAACAAAACAGAAGCCATTAATATATGTTAAGAAAAAATGAACCTCTTGTATACACATTGTATTTGATAATTTCAGGAGTGTAAAATTGCTGACTGTGGTGAGATAGCACTGGGAGAGGATGATGGTTTTGTGAAAGATGACGGCAGTGGTGATATTTATCCAGAATGGCCAGAAGACTCTGGAGTTGACTTTGAAAACGTTTGTATTTTGATAAATGAATACTGTTTTTGTCTGAATTAAAAAAATAAGATTACATAATTAAGAGAAGGCCAGAATAATATGAAATTGAAATGATTTGTGTTATTTTATAGTTCTAGTCATGTTTATCTTAGTACCTTTTTATGTAAGAAAAGAATAGTCATTATTACTTATGATTGGGGTTTCTTAAGATAAACATGACCACATTGTTGAATTTAATTCTACTGCTAAATTAAAGAGATGTCTATGAATTCATCCTTTAGTGCCAATACTAGTTTTCAAAATATCTAGTACTTGCACTAACGATTTTGCTGATTATTTGATAAAATCTTATTTTTGGCCGGTTAGGAAAAAGTCTAAAACTGACTTATAGTATTGTGATGTTGGGCAGATGGGGAACAGGTACCAGTCTTGTTATGATTCAACTTTTTTTCTAGGGGTAATGCCCCTTTGAACTTAGAATTTTGGCCTATATATACTACATGTACTGCAACAGTTTGTCATCACAAATCCTCTGAAACCACACAACATAATTTCATGAAACTTTTGTTAATAGATAATAAAGACATTTTATGTAGATGTACATGTCAACAGGATATTATGATTCAATTTTATGCCCCTGTCTTACGTGATGGGGGCATTAAGTATTACCCTTGACCGTCTTTCCATCTTTCTGTCCTTCCGTCTCTCTGTCTGTCCATTCATCCCATTTTCGTTTGTTTGAAGCTGGAGCAGGGGCATTCGTGTCCTCGGACACATTTTTTTAAATTTTTCTAAGAGTTAAGCCCCTTTGAACTTAGAATTTTGGCAAAATATACTACTGTAACAGTTTTGTCATTGCAAATCCTCTGAAACCACACGACAGAATTTTATGAAACATTGTAGCTAATAAGGTCCTAATATTTTAAAGTGCATATTTTTAGCAGTTGACTTTTGTAGGAGTTATGAGTCTTTGGTGAGATTTTGTTTGCCCAGTGACGAAGTGGGGGATGGGGTTTGTGAGCATGCTTTCAAAGGTTCTTTAATTCTTTATGCAACAAAAATCTCATTTATGCTATAAATAGTTGTATATTAAATATCACAATTTTCTAATGACTGATATGGGTAACATGTAAACACAGATAATTGGATGAATATATGTAAAACAAATAATTGAGCACGAATGAATTCCTTATCCTGGTGCAATCAACACCTTTGAAAAATTAAATCAATGAAAAATGGCACAAATGATATATCTTAAATACAGCAATTGGTGCAAAAGGACTGCAGCCAAAATTAACATCCACGAAATTACAAATGTTTTGAATAAAGAAATGGAATTGAAAATGATGTTAATTTCAATTTCTACATAATTTGTTAGAAATGTATTGGAAAAACTTAGATTATCTTAATATGCAAAAATTTAAATTAGTTTTCACATATTTGATAAAAAGTTTCTATTCACACTGGAAACTGATACATCATTTGATTACTATATTAACCATGACTATCATATAACTTTGCAGACAGAAAACAAAGAGAAAGTTTTAACAATGATCACCTCAATCAAAGGATTTGGAAATAACTTCTTCAAAGAGCAAAAAATCCAAGATGCAAAAAGAAAGTACAAGAAAGCATTGAGGTAAGGCAAATCTTCTAACAAATGACATCTCTGTATTTCTATACCCTCATTACTTATTATGCTGTGACAGTAAGTGGTGGAGCATGTTTTGTTACTCTTGTCTGTCATTCTGACCTTCTAAAATCAAATAGTTGTTCAAAAATGTTTCTGATATATTAGTAGATATTGATCTTTGTTTTGGTAGATTAGTATAAATGATATACTCATATATATAGACCCAATTTGCTTTTAGCCAGGTTGACTTATTTTTCTTTTGAACCTTATATATTTGTACATTAATGTATAATGAAGACTTCCAGATTGAGTTTGTGTTCTGCTTCAGTCTACCAACTTTTCACAGTTATTGCCCTTTGACTTGATTTTTTCTATAAAAATTTTAGTTGTCTAGATTTTTTTTTTCTGTAATGCCTATAGATTTGAAGCTGACTTTTAATTAGTGTATAGTGATGACTAACAGTGTTTGCATTTTATTTCAGTTTACAGACCTTTCATTGAATTGCTGTCTGGAAAATTGTACTTATCAGAACCATTTTATGTAATCCTTGCAAATCTGGGCTTAGTTTTGGTTCTGACATTAATATATGATGATGAGTTATGGGGTTTTATTCATTAAAAAAGGGGGATTTTCCAGTTTTCGGACAATAACTCAGAAATGCTTTCAGCAATTTTCATGAAACTTTGGTGAATTGTTTATATCTATTGACGTAAGCTCACTTTCGATTTTTATAAATTTTAGATTTTACGTTTCTGAGTTTTGGGATTTTATTCATAAAAAAAGGGGTGATTTCTCAGTTTTCCGGCAATATCTTTAAAGTGCTTTGAGCAGTTTTCATGAAACTTTGGTGACTGGTTATATCTGTTAAGATAACCCCCTTTTAGGTTTTTCATAAATTTCTGATATGACATTGAGAAGTTATTGAACTTTATTCTTAGAAAAAGCGACGGGCGTATCATGCGCTCATGGCGCAGCTGTTTATTCAAACAATTGTCATGTCTTTTTTTTTGTTTTTTTGTTGCATAAGATTTTTGATTGAATTAAGGATTTGCCAAGAAAAGCTTCAGCATTCATTGTACAATACTGTTTGTGAATGTGTGTATCTCTATTTATTGCAACATTTTGTATCTTCAACTCTTTTTAAAGAAATGACTGGATTTCAATGACTTTTTTATAGCATAGTTAGTTCATAACCAAGTAAATTGTTGATCTCTCTTTTCACAGATACTTAGAGTATGTAGAAGACAATATGGATCTGGAAGAAGATGAATCAAATATGGATAAACTGTACAATATACCTATAACATTAAATTTGTAAGTTTAGTTAGATACTGCATTTTGTATATTTTACTATGATAAAGATTTTTTGCATTACCTAACACTCATAAATGTCAAATATCAAGATCCTTTGGCCAACTATAAAATCTTATGTACACAGAAGTCTGTAGAATTAGACATGAATCTATAAGGACAGTTGTATTTCTCCTTGTCAATACATAATGATTTCAACTATTTTCAACTTTTTATCTTACAGAGCTGCATGTAGTTTGAAATTAAAAGAATACTCTGATGCCTTACAGCATTGTGATCAGGTAAAAATAGTGATTATATCATAGAATTTAGATGAAGGAGGTAATGTTAGGTGTCTTGATGTTTCTGCTGTAAACTATTGTGTCTGTGTAGTTATCATTCCAGATGCAGATCCAGGAAATTGAAAAAGAGGGAACTCTCCATCAAGGCTTCACTAGGAGTGAAACTTGTAAAAAGTCTATGCATTAACTATATATGTAGCTCCATAACAGAGGGCCCAGGTCCTCCCTCTAAATCTGCCTCAGCTTGATTGTCTTGAAGTATAATATTTCTCTGTTCAAGAATTAGGAAAGTAGGATAAATGCAAACTTTCTGAGAATATCCATCCTGTTTCATGCAAATATATAAAGAACAAGTATATCAAAGACACGGTTATATTGATCACATACTGTGTATGTATATAATTTTACTGTATTTTTGTTGATGGTGTGAGAATATTGCACTCTATTAGTCATTCCACTTTTATCATCAATTTTAAAGGATAGACAGGACAAAGATTGCCTTGAATTTAGTAATTTTCTTACAAATCTGAATTAGAAATATTTGCAGTTTTAATATGCTAACAATATCCTGTCTATCAGTGACGAATTCATAGTCCTTCACACTGCAATACTAAATTTTAACAGCTATGATAAAACTTTGAATCAAGATGTGACTTAAAATTCAACGATGGAGGAAGATAAAATTCTTTATACAGAAAACAAACATTAAAAAACAAAGAATCATTTGTATAGTAGATATATTATTCTTCCCTTAGTTTATTTATTTTGTATTTACATTGTGTCATAGGTCAAATTTATTTGTTCAGTGTATGTTCAATGGTGTTAATATGTCCTTTGATTGAGTTAAGCTATTTCAGTTGATATTTTATAGTGTGTCTTTCTATGTTGTGATGTTACACTATTGTTTCAGAAAAAGGGTGAAGGTTTGGTACTTTTAAAATGTTTAAACCCGCTGCATTTGTTTGCACCTGTCCTAAGTCAGGAATCTGATGTTCAGTAGTTGTCGTTTGTTGATGTGGTTCATAAGTGTTTCTCGTTTCTCGTTTTTTATATAGATTAGACCGTTGGTTTTCCCGTTTGAATGGTTTTACACTAGTAATTTTTTGGGGCCCTTTATAGCTTACTGTTCGGTGTGAGCCAAGGCTCCGTGTTGAAGACCGTACTTTGACCTATAATGGTTTACTTTTATAAATTTTGACTTGGATGGAGAGTTTTCTCATTGGCACTCATACCACATCTTCTTATATCTATATACTTGCATGTTTATCTAACCTTCATTCAAAGTATATAGATAAAAATTAAATAAGAAGCGTGTGATATTTTCCTGATGATTTTTATTGGAATGATATGCTTATTGTCTAACAAGTTTGACTACTGCTATTATACAAAAATAATTAAGAAAATTCTATTAAAAATTTGTGATCATAATATTAAATATAGGCAGACTGCATTTCTTACATACATGGAGTTTATGCATTGGACCTTACAGGCAATTGTAACATGAAATCTTTTCTGAAACCTCTGTTTATATTGTTGTTTATATATAAGCTAGGCTTACATCATCCCAGGCAAGTTAGCATCCATTCTTTTCATTTGCATCCTGAATATAAGGTCCTGATATATGCAAAATGTTTGCATTGTCAAAATATTAGTGTTTTCCAATAATTGTGTTAATTATGAAGAATGCTAACACTCAGTAGACCATTGATATTTGGTATTCTGTTGTAATACTGTGGATTCATTTATTTTCGTGGATACCAATTTTTTGAGAAAAACTTGCATTTTTGTGGATATTTGATTTCGTGGATTGCCAAAGTCTGCATACAACCTTAAAGAAAATGTGTAATTCGTTAAATATTTAGATTCGTGGTTTACCTGTACCTATGAAATCCACGAAAATTGGTATCCACCGAATAATAATGAATCCACAGTAGTATCCATAGTATATAATCCCTCAACTGTTTTTCATGGTCAGTGATTTCACTCTCTTCAAATGTTTTAGGATTTTAATAGTGTTCTTTTATAGTATTTGGAATGCTAATTTTTAGCACCTAAATAAATCATTTTCAAGAAGAATATGAGGCCTATCTCTTTAGTTCTATATTGATATGTTACATGATATAATATTTAAGTGAATTGTATTGTAGGTTTTACAAGAGGATGAAAAGAATGTAAAAGCCTTATTCAGAAGAGGACAGGCATTAAATGGTTTAAACAAATGGGACGAAGCACTGGTTTGTATTTTGCAAAGTTAATTTCACTGAATTGAATTTAAAATTATTGTTCGTGAATATTATATTTTGATTGTGTCCTTTTACACTTTACAAACATAGAATTCACACTTTATATATAAATTTTATGTGTCCAAAATGCTTTTCTGGATTTACCTTCATCAGGAATGTTAAAAGCCAAAAAGATTTAAAAGTACCAAATACAAGTGGCTTATCATTGGTGTCAACACTCTATCCACATTATATAATGCCAATGGTTACCAGAAAGATGACAATTTCACACTATGTATAGCCATTTAATGTATGTTCACAATGCTGCATTGCTGAAAATATCCTAACTTCTTAACCGATCTTTTTTTACCATAATATGTTGAAGATTAACAGTTGATCTAAGAAAATTGCAAATGTCTGACAGAGGTTGTAGCTAAAGATTGTGTACAGTTTTTATAGTGTATTGTTATGCACACAGACCTCTCACTTTGTAAATGGTGTAAAAACTACTTGAAAGAATATTGCTTATTATAGATTTTTAATTCTGCAGCCCTCTCATATCTAAGCATACATAAGAATGACATTTTGCTATTTTCCAGCTAAATCAACAGTATTTAACCCAAGGACATAAATTTTATTCATATCAAAATAAAACAAATAAGTTTTTAAATACATTAAGTTTTTAAATACATTAAATTTTTAAATACATTAAGTTTTTAAATACATTAAATTTTTAAATACATTAAGTTTTAAAGTGCACAATAGTAATTGCTTTATACATCTCTTTTCATTTGTACAGGAGAGTTTAAAGCAGGCAAGTCAAGTAGAACCAACCGATAAAGGTGAGTTTCATAGTGTAGCTGTTGTTCAGTTATATATATATATATATATATATCTTCATGACTAAATGTTCAGTCCATATCTATTTTATTTGGATAAATATTGGATCAGCTCTTCAACGTTTGTAATAGGTTTTGGATTTTCAAATATTTTGACCTCAAGCATCATTGAAGAGACATTAATTGTAGAAAATACGAAAAATATTACTGTTATCTTTTCAACAAAGGAAATGTTTTTTTTTTTCTGAAATAAAAAAAAACAATATTTGTAAATAAGGGGAGATATTATTCAGATTCATGGAACATGATTTACCTCCCTTTATATTTCTTGTAGTCCGTATTCTAAAAGTTAAATTTTCGTTTGTTTATATATGATTTGATTCTTTTTTTTTGCAGGTATTCTCAGTGAAATGGCAAAAACAAAGAAACTAGTAGATGCATACAAAGCAAAAGAAAAGAAAATGTACTCTAATATGTTTGCATCTTGAAAAGTTGGTACACAAATAGTTGAGTCTTCACAACATGCATACTTTCTTCTAGGACATTGGAATAAGCATCAAAACCAGAAGTGATTCAGTTAGCATTAGAACAAAGACAATGATTTAGACAGATATATATTATAATGTCCTGTCGTCACCATTGTCTTTCAGTTGTATAAAACTAACAAACAAAAAAGTAATAAAAAAGTAACCCGTCATTGTGTGTTCTGTTTATGCTTTCATGTTTTATAGGATGATTTTCAGTGTTGATGTGTTAAGGATTTTGATAGTGAACCAGTACAATATAAGGCAGAGTTTTTAAAATGCTTACTTAAAAAATGAAATACTGTGGATTCAATTATTTTTTGTGGGTACCAATGTTCGCGGATCAACAGTCGGGGGCGTTACTTAAATAAGTTATATTTTTTAATTACTTATATAGGTATTTTTTGTTTTTAAAACTTATTAAATTACTCAATATAGTTATTTTAAATTTCATTAGAAGCATGAACTAAATGTAGTTTTTATGAATTTTGACATCATTTTATTAAACAAAATTAAGAATTCATTAAATTTGAGAGGAGTAAAGAGATAATGGGTTATTTTAAAAATAATGACAAAAATATTACTTGTATAAGTTATTTTATACATCTTTGACAAAATTTGTTAAAGCTAGTAAACAATATGAATGAACACCCATAAAATTATTTTTTACAAAAGTTACTTATATAAGTAATATTTAAAAAAGCCTCGTTTTAACATAACTTATATAGGTAATTTTAAAAGGTACTTGTTCAAGTAATGCCCCTGACTGATTAAGGAAAAAATTGTACTTTACGTTTAAATTCGTGGTTCATCTGTTCTTATGAAATCCAAGAAAATTGGTATCCAACGATAATAATGAATCCACAGTAACTCTTTTTAAATTTTGTGTGTCCCAAGCTTTTTTTCTGGATTTACGTACATATGAAACGCTCAAACACAAAATTTGAAAGCGGAGAATTTATAAATGCTTGCATACATAAGGTGCTATATGACTAAAAGGGACCAAAAAGGAATAGCCAAATCTTTTTAATTTTAAAATGAAATAAGGAATTGTGGTATGATTGCCAATGAGACAACTATCTTCCAGAGACTGAATGATGTAGATGTTAACAACTATAAATCTCTGTATGCTGATCAACAATGAGAAAACCCATACCGCATAGCAAGCTATAAAAGCCCCTGACATAACAAAATATAAAACAATTCAATTGAGAAACCAAACACCTGGTTTATCTACAAAACAACAATAACAAACGACAACCACTGAATTTCAGGCTCCTGACTTGGGACAGGCACATACAGAATGTGGCAGGGTTAACCATTGTTGGTGGGCGCCCAAACTTCCTTAATGTTGACCTTAGATAAATTTGGCTATTTTTTTAGGTCTTTTTTGGTCATAAAGCTCTTCAACTGTTTAGGTTATTATAAATTCTGATATGACATTCAAATTCAAATATTCAGCTTTGAGCGTTGCTGATGAAGGTAAATCCAGAAAAGCGCTTCTGACACATGAAATTTATAACATGTTGTTTTCATTTTTTACAGCACTGGGTGGATAACTCTGCTGGTGGACTATCAGTCCCCAAGGGTATCAACAGATCAGTAGTCAGCACTTCGTTACTGACATGATTTATAACAAACTTTTCTAAAATTGTCTGTTAATATGTTTTGAAATTATAAGAAACTAAGGGTTCAACTCCCTCAGGCCAAGATATCCTTAAAAAAATTTTGCTATTTTTTTTAGGTCCTTTTGGTTGTATAGCTCTTCAACTGTTTTAAAAGGATATGAAAGATTCTTGGCTTTCAAATATTCAGCCATGAGTGTTCCTGATGAAGGTAAATCCAGAAATGGCTTCAGACGCATGAAATTTATAACGTGTTCTTTTCATTTTTTACATGATGGAACAGTGGTGAAACGAACAACATAATAACAAACTATAAAAATCATTTGGAAAGGGCTGGACTCATCAGATCAGCTTGGCTCATAAGGTCTTCTTTGCCTGTTGGAGTCGGAACCTTGGTTTTCTTTTTAATTTCTAAATTTTAACTGTGAAAATTGGCCTTATTAACAAGAAAATGTGACAACGGTCTTAAAGTTGAATTTCCCAAGTTATGAGAAAACATTAACTTTGCTGATCATGATACAATATCTAAAGAAAACTTTATATCATTGATTTGATTTATTTTGTTTATATAGATTTATTATTCCTAAATCAAAATTCCCAAGCCCAAAAGGTTTACAATTTAATGTGTTAGAATTAAAACTGTATCCGCCAACATCTTGTCTTACTGGTCATTTGTCAACTGTTTCACAAGAATATACAGTGTTCCAGCTAGGTCGTTTTCACAGGGCGGTCCACCCGCCCTTTCCCGAGTGCCGCCCTGTGCCCTTTTTACAGTTTGCAGGGCACCCTGCCTTTTTTGAAGATAGATTGGTATATATGACCCCCCCCTTCCAAACATTAAAATAAGGGATACGAATTAGGAATTAACAAAAGAGGGTGTAAATGATTGATATAAACAAAACAATAGAACATGTAACACACATGCACGACCTTAATTAAAATTCTAAATAGGATTAATAGAAAAACACAAGATGGCATATGGCATATAGACAATACCTGATGTCGAAGTCAACCATTAGAGGTGACTATCAGTTAGAACTCTAACTACCGGTAGATCATTGGTTCAAATTCAGATTGAACATCTAATATACCTCATTTGGTCTTTGATGGATGGAGAGTTGTCTCGTTGGCAATCATACCACATCTTCTTATATATTTTATAAGGTATACTATTTAACCACATAATTCGAATTTGATGCTAATTATTCAGTCAATATTCGTCAGTACCAACAGGGACTAACATTTACATTTCATCATAGAGAAATATATGAAAACATTTTTAAAAGACCATGGGCCGAAAAAACCAGCTTTTGTGCCATCTTATTACTTGATACATATTGGCAGCTTGTAACTATATGGGGATATTGATACGAGTAATAGTAAATGTGAGGTTTATATCGGAGTAACCACAACCCAACTACAAAATAACCGAAAGACATGCAGTCTTTAACAAGAGATAGATGTTTATCCAATATGGCAAGCTCTAATTCTTGTTGAGTCTATAATAGTTTATTAAAATGAGTGGAGGTTGATAAGTTTTCCTTGTGAAGCTTTATTTTTAACTGCATTTAATACTTCATACAAATTATGACAGGAAGAGTCATCAACAATTCAATTTTCAGATCCATGTTTTTTATTTTAATTTGAAGATCGCTGCAATTTCCATTTTACTGGTATAAATAGAAATAAAACTATAAATGTAGGGTATCAGTCGATGAGACAGTAACCATACAACACAAAAACATCTAGACCTCAAAGTACGGGTGTTTATTTATATCCTCTCCTACCCATTAAATATGATTTCATTCACCCTTTTTTAAAGAAATTTATTGACTAAAAATTGGATGAGGCATTTCCGAATTATAGGACATTTTGTTTGCATTTAGAACTAATTGAACTGCATCTGAATACCGAAAAAATATATGAGGTACATATACAGAGATACAATCAGTAAAACTTATGAAACAGATCTGTTAACTTTTACAAAATATTTCTCCTCTGAAACTACAGAGCCAAATTTAACCAAACTTTGGAGACGATCATCATTGGGGTATCTAGTTTATAAAATGTGTCTGATGACCCGTCTGCCAACTAACATAGCCAACATGGCTACAAAGTATAACATAAGGGTCAAAATTAATGCATGTTTTGTCTTTTATCTTTAAAACTGCTATGAATAGCAGGGGCAGATCCAGCCATTTTTAAAAGGGGGGTTCCAACCATATGTCCCCATTCGAAAGCATTGATCGTCAAAAAAAAGGGTTCCAACCCCCGGAATCCGCCACTGAATAGAGACAATCTGACTGGGGCAGAAATGTTCATTATGATGAGATCTACATATTGTCCATCCACATCATAACTGGCATACAGCTTCTTATAGAAGTTATTGCCCTTAAATGACAAATTTTGCGATTTTTTTTCGAATTTGACTATCACCTTAAAGTATTTGATAGATAGAAACATTCAATTGCAAAAATGATCAGCAAGGCAAGATCGGAAAGTTAGTTCATTGCAGTTTGAAATGGTCCGAAGACTCCTTATTGAATTTATTGCCCTTTAATGACAATTTTTACCCATTTTGCTTTTTTTTTTATCTTTAATATCTTTGAAATAATAAAAGATGAATGGAAACTTAAGTAAGCAAAAATGATCAGCATGACATTAAACAAGATCTACAAATAAGTCAACATAGTCAAAAACGTTCAATGGGATCTTTACTGACGATTTAATCCATTTTTAGTGTTTTTGTCCATGATTTTAAAATATCTAGTAGGTAAATAAACACTTTAAACAGCAAAAATGATCAGCAAGATCTAAAAATAAGTCAACATAGCAGAAATCGTATGCTGACTCCTTATTGGAGTTATTGCCCTTTAATGACGATTTTTGCATTTTGCCTAATATCTATAAAACTATGATAGATAGATTAAAAACTTTAATAAGCAAAAACAATCAACAGAGAAATTAAGTGCCCGAAATCATATCATTATATTCTTTTTTTTAGTTATTGCCCTTTAATGACGATTTTTATCCGATTTTGCATTTTGCCTAATATATTAAAAAACTATAATAGCTTATTAAAAAATTTAGATAAGCAAAAATGATCAGAAAGACAAGATCTACAAATAAGTTAACATGGCCGAAATTATCAGTCGACTCCTGTAATGGGTACATGTCAGTCTGGCAGGTTTAATCTGACCTTGACCTCATTTTCATGGTTCATTGGTCATTGTTAAGTTTTTGTAGTTTGGTCTGTTTTTCAAGTACTATTAGCAAAAGGTCAACTATATTCGACGTATGGGAGAATTGTAAGGTGTATATGTCTGTCTGGCAGGTATCATCAGACCTTGACCTCGTTTTCATGGTTCATTGGTCAATGTTAAGGTTTTTGTGTTTTTGGTCTTTTTTTCAAGTACTATAAGCATTAGGTCAACTATTTTCGGTGTAAGGAATAATTGTAAGATGTAAATGTCTGTCTGGTAGGGTTCATCTGGACCTTGACCTCATTTTCAAGGTTCTTTGCTCAATATAAAGTTTTCGTGGTTTGGTCTGTTTCTTGTATACTATAAGCAATTGGTCAACTATATTTGGTGTATGGAATGATTTTAAGGTATAGTTCTGGCTTGGTTTATCTGACCTTGACCTTATTTTCTCTGATCCTGTTAAAGTTTATGTGATACTGGTAGTAAAACTTTATATTTGGGACTATCAACATAAAATCAATGGTCAGTAAAGCAGGCAAGACATTTCAGCATGTGCACTCTTGTAAGGGTTTTTGCATATTATCTTGAAAATCATAAAAGATAGATAGACACTTTAAAGAGTAAAAAAAAGATCAACAAAATAAGTTAAAATGGCCAAAATCGTCAGTCGACTCATGGGAGTTCTTGCTGTTTAATGACATTTTTTATCAATTTGTTTACTACTGTTATAGTAGTCTCAGATAGGAGTGATTTCCCTTAAATGACAATATTTTACCATGTTCTATGCTTTGGGCAAAAAATTAAAGAATATAGACAGAAATTGTAATTGAAAAAATAATCAGCAATACAAGATAACAAAAAAGAGATTTTTGTCAAGAATACTACTAGTATTCTAGTCAACGATGTTGGAGAGGGTCCATTGTTGAAGTTGCTCATAGACTAAGGTGAGCGACAAGGCTCTTTAGAGCCTCTAGTCTTTATGTAACCTTATTACTGAAGTTGCAACGTACATGTATTACATTTGAAATAGTTTTGTTTATTGACCTCGAACATTTCAATGTATTGTCTCATTGACCAAACATGTTTCGTTTATATATATTTATGCACTTATGGTGTCTTTCAGAGTACACTCTTTTTATTTAAAGTTCGTCAAACAATTTCTTAAACGATGACAAAATTTGAAGTTCCTTTAGAAATAAAGCGGATTTATGTTATCAAATAAAACCATATTACATTATTATTGATTTAAATCCTGTTGCTTGAAGTTCAGAACATATATTTAAAAGCACACAGCTCTATTGATCTGAATCTCAATCAAAAACATGGAATTACATTTATAACAATACATTTTTTTTAAGTTTCATTAGGGACAACGTCTGTTATTAAAATACTAAACAATTGCTAACGTATTATTGACTCGCTACAAAAAAGATTTGTTGATCACTATAATGAGAGAATTAAAAGCAAACACCACTTTGATATTTTGCTTTTTAATTTGTCAAAACAGATAAAATATTCACATAACAAAGAACTATATTTGCAATTATAGAGACACATATTTTAATTGCTTTCGTCTCTCATTTACAGCTAGTGTAGGTATCACGGTACTTGTTAAAATTGTTATATCATGTGACGGTTATAAAATAGCAGGAAAGTTAAAAGATTGTGAGGAAGTAACATTTCCAAGAGTATATATAGGCCTATATACAAATTGAAATATCATTGCTTCAGAACGTTACAGCAATTTGGCGTATAAAAAACTTGGCAGCAAGAGTGGTGTTATTCATCCTTTTATTTATCGTTTTAATAAGATGACCTTGCTGATAAACAAATCTTTTTTAGTAGATCAAAGTTATTATTTTCTGCAGCGATTTATCTTTTTGGGGACTATTTGGACCAAACGGGCGTATTACTTGCCAGACTTGAGGCATCATTTTTCACATATCGCACACTTACTAGTCTAAGAGTATGATTAGATTGATTTACTTAGTACTCAAAAGTTTATGCGGTATTGAGATTCACTAAAGGGAGCTCCCGTTTGATTTTGAAGTATTTTCTTGTTTGACATTTTAGAGTTACGGGATTTTATCTGTCAGACTTGGGTTACTTTTTCACACGTTGTACTCTAGGAGATTTACTTGAAACGTTACACAATTGTTATTATAATTGAATTGTGAAAGTTTTTTTATTTTGAAAATTTTCCGATTTTTATTCTACAGTTCAATGGCACCTTAAACGTTTTTTTTTTTCAAATGTCACACACGAGATCTAGTATGCCTGGATTAAATATTACTACAAACTTTACATTGTTGTTTGGATTAGTGAATCAAGGACGTATAACTAGCATACGTCCTTGGGTGAATGTAGGCTCTCTTTTGATTTCGAAAATTGTCAGGTCTGGTGTTCGAAAGTTATGGGAATTTAACAGTTATATTTTAGGCAATGTTTATATGTCTTAGGAAACCATGTAATATTTTTCTACCTGACTGTTTTATTGACTTCTGATGAAAAACCGTCTAAACATTTTATTTTGTTTTTCAATTATTCCAATATGCAAAAGAAGAAAAATATGCTCCCGGCACAGAAGTTTATTTTACTTAAAATAATGTTATATATGATGTTTTGAAATTACCGTTTAAATGAAATGAAATTATCAGGTGGTAACCAGATTCATTCGAGTAAGTCGTAGGGTGAATGAAATCGTTAAACTTGTAACGTCGTGACGGCATCACACAGTAAAATCTTAGTTTTCGTGGTTTTTTCATACATACTCTATTTAAAAAAAACTCTGAAATACTGCCAGACCGACTTGCATGAATTTTCACGTTAGGCATCATCCTTTTCGGTCTGGGTACGTACACCAAGCGCGTGGAGTACACCGACGTTATATAACAGGTAACGGTACGTCATTATTAGAAATGACGTCACTGGCATTGCATTCATCAGGATGGACTTAGCAGTTTGCCTTTTCATCTTGCACATCTATACTGGAAGATGTTTAGGTTTGTATTCGAAATGAAAATACTTAAAAAAAACGTTAAAAGTAGTTATCAGGACCAGGAGTGGATCCAGGGTCTGAGGAAAAGATTTTTTAACGATTTTAAGCAAAAAAATAATATTTTCGTTAATCAAAAAGAGAGCAAACGCACTCTACGCCACCTAGAATCCACCACTGGTAATTTCAGCCGAATTTTTAAGGTTGAAATATATTGCGCAACAACTTTCAAAAATTTGTTTTAAATGCTCTCTGACATACGCTAAAGCCTAAACAACATTACAAAAATAAGGAGATCTGATATGATAGGTAATGCGACAACTATCTTTAACGTTAAAGTCCAAGGGCCAAATATGCGAACAATTTGTTTATTCTATGTTCAAAACTCGTAAAACCATGGAATACAAGTTTGTAAACCAAGAGGAAAAAACGTAGGGAATCGCATGAACACTAAACGACAGTGAAAGATCATCTTGCTATGCGAATCCAGATTCAGTAAAAATCTCATGATAGGTAAGAAGACCAAAATCTGCAAATTTACAGAGCAGACAACAGAGTATTCTAGTGTCTAAATAAAGATTTAGGACCGCGAAAACATCGCATCGGTCAACTTATATGTGTGATGCTGATCGTGTTGACTAGGACTGCTGGTGGATTTTTTTTTTGCATAAAGAGCACGTCCCTGTTAATGAAGTCAGTATATGTGAACATGCACAATCATATATCATTGTTTACACACGCTATACGATGTGCCACAACAGATGGCAATTTTAGGAACATGTACGAAATATAGTCAAATCAAAGTCGTACTTCTCAGGTTTATACTAAATTAAACTATAAGTCAATATTTTGAACATGTTGATAACTGAAACCTGTCACTGTTTTTGTCATTCGTGGCTAGCATTTATGTCTTGAATTTTTTTCTCCAAACCCATCTAAAACGATTTCATTTCAGTTCTATTCGTGGGTTAAAATTCTAATTTATACAATAAGACTTCACACAACACCACGCTACATGGATACTTAAAGAAATTCAACAATCACGAATAAGTGGCAAAATCATATATGGTCAATGTCCTCTAAAAACTTTCAATTTAACCTGAAATTGATATATCTTTCAAGGTTTAGAAATTGAATCTTTATAAAAATAAGAAGATGTGGTTTGATTGCCAATGAGAAAACTCTCCACCACAGACCAAAAGAAGTAAAAGTTAGCAACTATAGATCACCGTACGACCTTCAACAATGAGCAAAACCAATACCGCAAAGCAAGCTATAAAAGACTCCGAAATGACAAATGTAAAACAATTCGAGCCAGAAAACTAACAGCCTGATTTATGTACAAAACAATAAACGAAAAACAAATATGATATAAAAATTCTGATTTGCCAAAATTTTAAGAATCGCAAAACCATTTCAAGTCACTTGCAACAAAAACTGTATAGTGTTGGGCTGTACGAAATTTCAATATGTTCTACTACATTTTATTATAATGGTTTAGGTGCGTTCAATGGAGAAGCAACGCTTATGGATCAGGTACTGTCGGGATATAATCCAGCTGCTAGACCTAGAACTAACGCTGCAGAATCAGTTATGGTCGATGTAGGATTCTACTTAACTCGTCTTGATCATACGGTACGTCAACTTCAACTATTATGACTGATATATATTAAATGTCTGTACCACACACTCCCACTCCCCCGGCCTTTGACCGAAAGAATTATAAAACGAAACACTAACACATTTAATATTAAAGTTATATGATACTTCAAATTAAAAAAAAAAGTTGAATATGTTTTATATACTTGAATAGCCAAGTTTTACTACGAAACACGTTTACATGGACTTTCTTTTAAAAGAAAATCCTTTATCCTATCGAAATCTTCAGAAATGTCCTGCTATTGAATTATTGTCTTCCCGTACTCTAATTCGCCGATTGCTTTTCCGTATGCAGTGAGCCTAACCACGAGACCTCACGTTAGTACTTCGACAACCGCACAGCGCAAGTGCGAGAGAAAAACCGTGATGAAAGAACGTGTAAGTTAGATAGTTTTACAAAAAAATCATTTTCAAAATAAATACCAATTCGTAATAAATGTAAAACGTCGTGCATGGAGCACTTAGTTTAGTATATATATACATGCATTGGTTAAGTAATTCATTAACATTATAATTTTAAGAAACTCCTTTCATATGACTTTATCAAACGAAGGCCCGGGGGGGGGGGGGGGGGGTGGGTAAATAATATATCTGTAAGTGTTTGAGTCTAATTGCAAATATCAGATTTTTTGTTACCGTTAATTGTATTGATTTGTTACAGAAAGATTTTTTCTCTTTTAGAAGTATTTTTGTTTAAATCGGATCAATCAATTAGAAAAGGTGACATTAATTTATCAATCATATTTGCCATTCCATTTTATTTGAGCACATATTATTTTATACTATGGTAAAGTAAAGTTTTCGGAAAAACATGGGAACCGTTATATAATGCAATTTAACACTCAACTGTGGAGCAATTGCTGGCGCTATTTTGCGGGTTCTGAATTGGATTGTTTTATATGTCTCAACGTTGATATTTGAGTGCGTTAATTTTTTTTCATGTTTTTATTTTTGTACAGTGTCAGCAAACATTGCATAATATGTCTAGGTCCCTTTTTAACATAAATTAATTATTGTTAATATTTTTTGTGGGGAGGGAGAGGTAACTTAAATTTTGTTACGAGTCTTTGGTACATATGTAACTAACTTTGGTGAGTTTCGCCGTGGTAATTGATTCCAGTTTAGTAATTAATGTACAAGAGTTATTTAATGTCAGGGTCATGCGATCCGTCAATGAGAATCTGAGTTTTAGCCTTGTATATTCTATTATCTATCTATGATCCAATCAAAATTTACATTTTTTCAGGATTTGCGGAATAATAAAATGATAACAACGGGTTGGCTTGTTGTGGTACGTACCAATTCTGATATTATAATACCAAAAATACTCTAAAAATCCCAGACGAATCTGGAAAATGACTCAGTGTACACTAATCTGAAAATAAATCACTTTTTATGTCTAAGGATATATCATGAAAAAAATTATCAAATAACTTGGAACACGGCCTTCTCTTCAGAACATGCCACATAAGTATAAAAACGAGTTCTCAAGAACTGCGATCGGAAAATTAAGACATGCGCCTGTGAGATGGACCACAACTAGTACCTTATGTATTTATTTCACCACAATTCGATTTCTAATTGTGAGTATTCATTGAAATAAATACGTCGTCAGGGGCGTAGCTAGACTAAAATGATGTGCACGCCTATCTAAATTTTTTGGACCATTTATGTAGAAATTGATATTTTTTTCGGTTTTCGGTCATAGGAGGGTTAAAAGAGGTGCTACATAGGACTTATAGACAATTAATGAATGCAAAAATATTTAGAATTCTTTTGAATAGGGTAAATCATGGTATATTGAATACATAAGCAACACATTTTTGTGAGACAGAATTTACTCAAAATTGTCCAAAATCTGCTCTTCGGGTCTTATCAGAAACGAACTTCTCCATTACTTTGTCAATATTCACACTGAAATCCCGATGAATATGCATTAATGCTAGCGATGATAACATATCGTTATTCATGGTTGATTGTACATATGTTTTGAACCGACGTAGTACACTGAACAATCTCTCCGCGGTAGCACTTGTTATCGGGGTGCATTATCAACATAAGTGTTTATGAAAATCCCTACCCCGAAAAACAGTCAATTTGGAAACGTACACACGTCCTAAATCAAATTGTTAAAAACAGACCCGAGTTATCATTATACTAAATATTATGTAAATTACAACGTTTGAACCCGAATTTATCGTAACCCCATTCTGTATCCGTCTGTAGACTATTTATTTTTTTTGCCGTTATACTTTTGATTCAGACATGATTTCTACTAATGAATTGGACACAATTTTAAATTCATTTCCGCATACCCCTTCAAATCCATAGAGTTACCCCTGGCATATGCTATTCCACGATTTCGGGAAACGTTTTAAACACTCAGAGTGACTTGGAAGAATTAAAACAACATACCTCGCCGGGAAGTCAAAATTATTTACATCTTTCTAGTTGGATGTTAGTAATTGCATGTTAAATTCTGTCATCTGCAAATTGAAATCGTGCAGACTTGACATGTCTGGTACGGAGGGGTGTTGGCTTTGGAGGTCGAAACTGAGCTGGAGCTTGCATTTGCCTTTTCACTATCATGATTTGTTCTCTCAGACTCTGGCAAGGTTTGTTGGGAAATGGGTTCTTCTGAAGAATCTTTCGTTTCTGTTGAAACGGGTTTGTAAAAAATGTCAACAGTTTTCCATTTAGCCTTTTCACCTTTTTCGCTAAATTTCGACGTCATGTCGTGTTCAACGCCGGACATCTTATGTGCGTATAATACCAGAAACGTCATGATTTAAATAAATGGCCTGGTTGTGAACTTAACATTTTTGTAGTGAGTGGTTCATTTCTGATAAATGTGTTGTTTCCTTAAATACAAATGTGTATTTGGCTCTTTGTAGAGATGGAATGACGATTTTCTAAGATGGAACCCAATAGATTACAACAATATAAGTAAAATAATAGTCCCTACAGCTAAAGTTTGGAAGCCAGACCTTGCTTTAGATAACAGGTATAATCTTTTTAACGGTTTGCGTGATTGACGTAGCGTACGTGTCTGTACTAAAACACAAGGCATTATATATATAATCAGTATATATTTACCTCTATGACTTATCTATGCTTTATGGTTATGATTTCAAAAGATAAAATCAAAACTTGTGCACACTTATGTTTATCGTTGCTGCATTTCACTCACACAGTTCATGAAAGAGCAGCACACATGTTTTACGACAATTGATTACATTATTTATAATGCCTTTTCAACAGTGATTCGTAATTCTCAACGTTTAAATTTGAGTATTCCATAAATTACCGAAGATAAGAGTGTTATTCAGGACTGGAAATAATTATAAGTAACACGAACATTTCTTACAGTTAAAGCATATTAAATATTTAACAGTCGTGTCAAGCAGGAGATCAGCTAAAAACCAAAAAGTCAACTTCACAATATAAATTATGAAAAGAAAACTTTAAGAGATCACCATACTGTCCTCTGCTATTTATCAGTCGGCACGAAACATGTTCTTGGCTAAAACATCTAGAAAAATCCTCTCACGTGACTCCAAGATACTACCTAGTAATCCTATTTTAGTGAGGTGAGATTTGCACCAGTGTAAGGCGTTACCATTTTTTAATTTTAAAACAACTACTTTGAGACAAGTTAACTATATGTATGATGTCCGCAAAATCTGAAAAAAGTGACTGTGGTCTGGACATATCTAAAATATTCCAGTTAGATTAATAAAAGATTATTATTTTTATTACATTCAGTGCTGACGATTTGTACACTTCCATATACAACAGTGCATTCCAAGTTGTGATATACAGCAATGGGTCGATGATGTGGGAGCCAGGTGGTTCATTCAGCACTGTATGTTATTTTGATATTAGGTCGTACCCTTTTGATCATCAAACATGTGAGATCATCTTTACTAGCTGGCATTACACCTTAGATATGTTAAACTTGACATGTAGTGGAAACATCAACACAGATACATTTTGGCGAAATGGAGAATGGGAAATAGAGTATACCAAGCTGTTAAGACGAGAATGGTCAGCTGGAGGGAATACACTGGAGGATATATATCCAGAGGTAATATTTTTCCATTCAGATTAATTTTTTGTGTGTGTTTTATTGCAATACATATTCCCTTGTGGGTTAACTACTCATTAAACTTCTTTGGAATATAAAGATTATCTGCATATCTGGATAAAGGGTTATTGCTGGTAGCTAATCAACAAAAAGGGTCTAAACCTAGGGTTTCTGCATGAGACTGAAACAGTCAACCATGTGACACATGTTCTGGTTATCGTACATTTTACCCGTTCTTCCTTTCTCATTCGTGACTGTAAATTCAATTTTACGAAATTAAAGATCACAAAGACGTTAGTCAGTATAAAATTCTTGTCCTTCCGAAACACTGGCATTTTTTCAATGGGCTACCGATATTCAGTGTGTAGACCATGTGTTTCGTATTCGTCTACTTCAATGTTTCTTCTATTAAACAACAATTGTCTTCACGAAGAATATTGTGTTTTTTTCCGGCAGATAAAAAAAATTATAAAAAAGGTGTAGCGTTTTTGGTGCATCATTTACTGAACTGAGATATATATTCATAAAAAAAAAAGAGAAGAAAAACTTTTCGCCACCTGGAAGATTAAATGATCAGTAATAAAGATACCTTATAAAGCATACCATTGAACAATATTCGCGTTTTAGATTGTCAGGATTTACTTGTGCCAAAAGATATTGTATAACATCATCAATGTTCCAATTTTTCATTTTTCAAAAACTGACTAGTAATTTGTTTGCAAGTAGTCTAAAATTTAATCATTTTCCTATGTTTTTAGATTGTCATCCAGATTCACATGCGGCGGAAGATACTGTATTACATCATCAACATTGTATTACCATGTTTCTTCATGTCACTCTTGGTATTAATGGTGTTCCACTTACCACCGGATGCTGGTGAAAAAGTTTCACTTGGCGTTACGGTGCTGCTGGCATTTTCGGTGTTTCAGTTGATGATTGCTGAGAGTGTTCCATCTACATCTGATGCTACGCCAATGCTTGGTAAATTATATTAGTATGTTTCTCTTATGCAATGGGATGTTAATAATCCTTTTTAAAGTAATAATCTTAGCTGGTTTTATTCATCCTAGGTTTAAGTGATCGAATTTTCAATACCGGTAGCATATTACAGTTTTAAGTTTTAATCCAGAAACTTACAATTTTAGTCTTTCCAAGCTTAATGTTGGCATAATTTCGATAGAAAAATTTTCTAACTTTTCTTGATGTTCGTGTGTTTGGTGTAACTTATTGGATTTTTTTTATGTTGTTCGCAAGAAGAAGAATTTGTCATATTAAATGTTGTATCACGTATACCAACAGTGTTTTAAGTTATGTAAAGATTCGTTGAGGAATTTAAGTTGTAAAAAATCATGGTCGTAGGAAGAAGCGGCATACTATTACTTCAGACCCGACTGGTTATGTTATTGGCTATGGTTGTTGTAGCCGTTGTTGCAAGGAACCATTCTGAAAATTGAACAAAAACGTGATTTAATGAAATTCAAAATTATCGGAAAGGAAGAATTTACTAGTTAGTGTTGCTTGAAGTTTTTAGTTTTCTATGTTGTCTTTTGTAGACTGTTGTTTGTCTTTTAGTTGTTTTTGTTTTTAGTTCTGCCTCTTTTTTAATACTGTTTTTAATCATTTGGTATCTCGATTCAAACTGGGAAAATAGTAACTGTTTATTATTAACACCGTTCGATATTCCTTTTTGATCTTTTTATTATCTAATTGGAATGCCTTGTTCATGTTCCAGTTGATAACTCAAAGGTATACCTACCGGTGATTTTTATTTTTGACTTTTTTTTTAATTGTACGGACTGAACTGTTCAGTATGTCGATAAATGTTGTCCTGAATACTCCCTGTGACTGTAGTCGTCGATTTTAAATTTAAAGTCGGATTAGTCAAAGCTTAACTAAAAATTCATATGAATGTATTGATAAATAAATGACAAGAAAATAAGAAAAATAATGAAAAATCAAGAATATCAGTCAATAATGTAAAATAGAAAATACTGGAGTATCAAATCTAATGCATGAATGCCTTTACAAAACAATGTTTTTTTCTCTCTAACTCACAAGTTTGTGTTGATAAATTAATTGTTTGTTGATTTCAGAAATATATTTGCTGTTCTTTATGGCTGAATCAACGTTTTCTGTTGCCGTTTCAGTTCTTGTACTGAATCTTCATCTCAGAACTGAATATAAACCTCCTCCTGATTGGTTGAGAAAACTTGTTTTACATTGGATGGCGAAAATGTTATTCATGAATGTCAGTGAAACAAACAAAGTAGTTCCAGAAAACAAAGATTCAACCTATTCTAAAGATTTTGCTTCTAGTTCAATGCCTGAAGTCCACATTGACAGGAAAGAAAGTAAGATAATTAGAAACTTTCGCACGGACCATACACACGATCTGCATCCGCATGAACTGCAAACGCATGAACTGCACCCGCATGATCTGCATCCGCATGAACTTCATCCGCCATCGACTATACCGCCCAACATTAATATTGAAGAGTCACATTCCTCTGAATTTGGAGTGAAAGAGCATTCAAGTTCACATTTTCATACAGTGCATTCCCCGGTATCTACTAAGGTACATTTCGATGACCATTCAAATATTTCCCCTCAAGTTGAAAAGTCGGCTATAAAAGTTATGAAAAGTCTTGCCAATTTAAACCATGTACCTAAGAACCAGTCTCGCATAGAATTCATGAACCTGATAAAAGATACTTACAGAGATTTGTGTCAGCAACGTGCAGACGATGAACTTGAACTGTTATTTGAAAATGAATGGAAGAGGATAGCCAGGGTTGTCGATCGGTTCTTCTTTCTTATAACAAGCACCTTTATAGTTATATCGTCTATAGCAATTTTTGCTGTAATACCATACGGTCATACTGATTAATAAATAGATTTTTGAGTTGTAAGTGTGTTAACGTTGTCTCATTGACGTAAATCTCACATCTTTTATCGATTTTTCCCTTTTAAATTAATTTACTTAGATCGTTTCAAGTGGTGTGAACTATCTTTTTATTTAAATTGGGCCTATACGGGGAAAAATTCTTGACTGAATGTTTCAATTTTGTGCCAAGTTGATTTGTTGGTACTAAAATGGTATCGGAGTTTGGTGTGATATAACCGTCTCATTAAACTGTCTTTAAAATTTGTAGAGGAATGGTGTAATAAAGGGCCTGACAATTTTCAGTCAACATGCCCATCATTGGAAATAGAACTACTCGTTACTTTGATAATCAGAATCTAAAACATTTCATTTTCCCCCGGCATGAACCTTGGTATGATTTCAAGACTGAAATTTGAAAAAAAGTCAATCAGCTAAAATAGGTATTACAAATATATCGCAACATCTACGTATAATTTTACTATTGATTGCACGGTTTATCAAAAAAAAATTTACATCACACATGAATAACTGACAGTATATAAACAAATTTAAACTGCTTTTATACACAGACAGCAAGGAAGGCTTTAAATGAGCACACAAAGATACATTGCGATTTTATTGTTATTCTGTAAAATATGGCACAAGTTGATTTTCACCTATATTTACATAATATAACTCAATAGTAAATATATATATATAAAAAAAACTATAACCGTTTTATTTAGTTGTCAGATATTTTTTATTCATGTATTTGTCCATTTATCAATTCATTCATTCATTTCTTGTGACTTCTATTGGTATCCCGTCCCTAAGTCCGTCGGTTAGTTTTGTTTTCGGATGCTAACTCAAATACTTGAAATTGGATTGGAACCTTACTTGTATATATGGTCACATACAATGATAGGAAAATACCTAATGGTGTCGAGGTCAATAGCTAATACTTAAAAGGTCAAGGTCAAAATTTCTAAATACAAAATTTTTGCTGCAAAATGGTCTCCAGATGCTATGTCAAATACTGCATATGGGATTGAAACCTTACTTGAATATATGGTCAAATGTAATTAAAGAATATCTAATTTAGCATACGGAAACCACTTTTCTGCACACATTGCATTCGAGTTTTAGTGACAATGGAAGTACAATGTACTACATCCATGCTATGACCTTGACCTTTGAGGTATTTATTTAAAAATCAACGGAGTTCTTCTCATTCCTCTAAGCATCCGTTAAAAATACAAAGTTTAGTATTAATTCATTCCAACTTTCATTTCTCGTCAATTGGCGTCATTAGTATTATAACATTTGTATATTTACCAATGCCACTATACCTAACAAATATATACATTTGAAACAGCTAGACCGGCAGCGAAACGTCAAGAAAATACGAACGGTGTTTATGTTATAAACTATGGAGTGACTTACAGGTGGAATGCGGGTCTGCATGAATATATGGGGTCATGAAAGAGATTTCAACGGTAAGCCGGCAAAGGACAAGCTGAGCCCCAATACAAGTTTTGATTAATGAGCCCATATATACCCCGAGAGACAACGTTGAGAAATTTAGAATATGCAAGTCTTCCAAATCATTGACATATTTTACCGTTTCAAGCAGATTATTACCAATAAGACACTTTTCAAAATAATACCTCTCAAACTGCCTCCTGACGTACATGATGTCGCCATATAAAAAAGTATAAGGTTCTAATTGCTAATAACATGTTTGAAAGGAAAAAGTATACAATCATGCAGCTTTTGACTTGAACCTAACCTCACAATAGTAAGAGTGTTTGCCTTTAAGGTATTTATACAACATCAGTATATGTAGCAGTATAAAAGGATTAACAAAATTACCGAACTCAAAGGTAAATTCAAAAAGGGGAGGTCCATAAAAAGTTACAAAATCAAACGTTATACGTTATCAACCAACGGTCCATCACGTCTATCATACATGGATAACAAGTTGAACTCATCACAGCGTGTGAAAAGATGAGTGACAATAAAAGCGTCAGTATACGGTTTAATATGTGATTGCTCTCATCGAATGAAACAGAGAGCTCGTTGTTAGAATCGGAGTAAGAATTAATTACACATATGTAATGTACAAGTGATCTTCTTTTCCCCATACGTCTATCATGCACAAACAAGTCTTACACAGCATTTGATTTGATGAGTGACAATAAAAAGTGCAAGACTATTATGATGGCGATACATTCAGTAATCCAGATGTGACTGATACAATCCACTTGTTCAAACTGAAAAGTGTCAGTCAAAATATCACAGGATACGCTTATTAACAACCTGATTAAAATATAGAACTCGGATTTCGTTATAAATCCGAGTTCTATATTTTAATTAGATTGGCTTATTAACTGATATTATCTTCAAAGAATTTAGCTCATATAATAAACCCAATAGATAACATTAAAAACTACAAAAGCTAAAGGAAAAGCAATTCTAGCAATTTTGTCTATCTTCCTTGCGTTCTCCCTGTCTTTTTCTATTTGATGTTGCTCGTCAACTTTTTCTGTTATCTAAAAATAAAACATTTTTTAGTACAGTAAATATGAATTCATTTCTTTCAATAATTGTTTGAAATCTTCCAATTTTTCACTTAAATGTTTTATAGTGTGTCCTTTTATGTCGTATTGTTACACCACTGTCTCAGGTAAGGGTGAAGGTTGGCGCCAGATAAAATGTTCAAACCCGCTGCATTTGTTTGCACCTGTCATAAGTCAGGAGCCTGATGTTCAGTGGTTGTCGTTTGTTGATGTGGTTCTTAAGTGTTTCTCGTTTATCGTTTTTTATATAGATTAGACCTTTGGTTTTCCTGTTTGAATGGTTTTACACTAGTAATTTTTGGGGCCTTTTATAGCTTGCTGTTCGATGTTAGCCAAGGCTCTGTGTTGAAGGCCGTACTTTGATCTATAATGGTTTACTTTTACAAATTGTGACTTGGATGGAGAGTTGTTTTATTGTCACTCATACCACATCTTCTTATTATTATTAGTATGAATACAACATTATTATGTTCTAGCAGGTTGAGTTTGCTTACATGTCACTCTTCTGAATAATAGATTAAATTATATATATATATATATATATATATATAAAATGACTGAATAATAGCCAACGATAAATCTTACGGGGCGATGGATCATATAGATATGATACAATACACTACAAAATATAATATATAACAAGTCTAAAAGGGTACAACATCACCAAAAAATGACAATAAACGAACAAATGTAACTACATGTATAAATATTTCGGATAACAGATATCCTTCATCAGTATGAGCACGATGTAAAATGAATCAGATCAATCTATTCTGATTATTAAACTATAGCAATCTTGACTTCTATCCAATAAAAAAAGTGAAACAGTTTCACCCGAACATCATATGTAGAGACGCTAATAAATTTTTTAAATTTCCAAAAAACGACTCAAAGACATGGCTTAAATGAAAATAGTAATTAGAGATATGAACTGGCACAACTCTAAAATTCCAAAATGAGGTCAGTTAAGATGTTACAACAACTGCGTGTAAATACAATCCCAAAAAAACAGCACTGATCGATATAAGCTGGTAAAATATGTCAAACAGAGGCTGCGTATTTATCATCCCAAATAAATAGCAGTTTTATAATGAAAAGAAAAAAATAATAGTAAATTTGGGCTAAGGTTAAATAATTGGACGTGGATGCGTACTTGTACATCCCTACCAAATGAAAAGAACCCTGGTATTTAAACTAAAATTCAAAAAATTCCAAAAGAATCCTTAAAACTGTAAGAGTCAAGTAAGGAAGCCGGAGAAACTGGAAACAGATGATGTCAGGAAAATGAGTGATGGTAGGGAAAATGAGTGACTCATATATATATATTTTGTTACATCTTGTGATCCGTTTATTTGGCAATCACAAATGGCAGTCAGCAGGGTTTAAGAACATCAGTTGTTCGACCTCCTTGTCAAATGCGTTTTGTTAAAATATACTTTTTCACTCATTTGGTCTTTTGGAAAATGTTGTTTGTGCTGTATTTAGACCCCTCTACCAAGAAATTTGTTTTGCATGCACACGTATAAAATTGCGGTTTTTATCCAACGCAATCATAGGTTTGAACGTTGTTTTCAATTTAGACTTGTTTATATTTTTTCGTTTGGGCTTGTATTATATTTGCCTTCGGGTTTATATGATCCGTTCATCCTATTTTGACTCTTTCAAAATTCAAGAGTCTATCCTAAATTGAGGTAAATTATATGGCCTTCCAAATACCGTTTCGATTCCTAACATCACTGAAGAGACATTAATTGTCGAAATCCGGATATGGTGTACAAATTTAATTTTTGCACCTCATGTTTGAGGTATACCATCTTTTCCGCAAGTTTATTGTTTTCTGTTTGGTAATAGATTAGTTGTAAGATCTATTTTGTTACATCTTGTGATCCGTTTATTTGGCAATCGCCAATGGCAGTCAGCAGGGTTTAAGAACATCAGTTGTTCGACCTGCTTGTCAAATGCGTTTTGTTAAACTATACTTTTTCACTCATTTGGTCTTTTGGAAAATGTTGTTTGTGCTGTATTTAGACCCCTCTACAAAGAAATTTGTTTTGCATGCATACGTATAAAAATTGCGGTTTATATCCAACGCAATCATAGGTTTGAACGTTGTTTTCAATTAAGACTTGTATATATATATATATATATATATATATATACATAATTACTCTAAATATCAGCACAACAATGTTCAGTCTAGGTGGCCGAGTGGTCTAGATCGCTGGACACAGTGCAGGCGGTGTTGTCACAATATTCCAATAGCATGAGTTCGAATCCCGGCGAGGGAAGAACAAAACTTTGCTGATTTAACATTGTTGTGCTGATATTTAGAGTAATTATGTGTTTTCAGCTGTGTATCACCTTCATAGGTGATCCAATGGATGGATCTGTCGTAGAGTCACTTTTTTAAGACGGACTTATTTATATATATATATATCTTATTCCCATCTGTTGTAGCACCGAATTGGATGACTATTGATTGCGATATTCATATGTATTAACTTTATTATACATATCAAATATTTTTCACAGTGGATATTGACCACATCAGAATTATAAATTGACATTTTGATGTAGGTGTGTTATCAAATTTGATTAACTCTTCAAAATGCGTCATAAAGAATGAAACTTACTTTGCCATTTTCAATATCCGCTAAAACATTTAATGAAATATTTGAATGGAGACGCTCACGTTTACGTCTTTGTTGAACCCTTGCAATAACACAAACGTATGCATATTCCACCATTGCACCAAACACCAAGAACAAGCAAACGGAATTCCAAATGTCTATAGCCCTGATGTAAGAAACTTGTTGCGACATACCAACACTTAGATTACCATTCGTTGATATTGTCAGCACTGTCAATATTCCTAGAGACACTCTTGCTGGTGCTGCGTCTATATTAAGCCAGAAAGATACCCATGAAAGCACGACAATCAACATCGATGGTGCAAACACTTGTATGATATAGAAACCATATCGTCTTTTTAAAGGTAATGTCAAACCAATACAAGTATAATTTCCTATAAAAGAAAACTTCATATGGTAAAAATGCCATTTTGTTCTTAGATATAAATGGATATTGTGCACATTCATTGTTTTATTTTAAAAACACATATTCATAATAGCATAAACGGTACTGATTTTACTGCACCAGATGCGCATTTCGATAATTAATGTCTCTTCAGTGATGCTCGTGCCGAAATATTTAAAAATCGAAAGTCTGACGGAAACGTTGACGAGCTGATCAAACTAAAAAGGACCTAATGTATAGCTAAATCCGGACAAAAAATCAAAACTTTACACGAGGGAGATATATTCCTCAATTTAGAATAAATTTTGTTTAAAGGGAACAATCAATTGATGTTTAAGGGCATGGATGCACCTCTAAAAATATGAAATGGATCTCTGATTGACACAGAAAACTAACTTTTATCAATGTTTTATGATTTTGACTTGATATACAACCTGCTATTCTTTGTAAATTACTAGTATAGCTTCAAGTTTCTTAACCAACTGTTGATTTTTGCAATGCCAGTCAAATCTAAAAAGTGTTCGGTAGATTGTTTTGTTGCTGGTGTGTTCTTAAATATGTACTAAACTATCTTTTACATAAATATCATTAATTAAGACGTGTTGTATACCTGAAGGATACTCCCTGTCACACAGATATGATTCAGGATCCCCTATTTCAAACTGACTATGAACAATGCCATCTTTAAAAGACATTGCTGGTTCATCCCATCTAAAAGATACAGTCGCAGCTGTGAATCCATCTGGAAAGACAACAAACATGTCAGGGTTAATGTTATGGTAGATTAACCGTATATTGAAATAATAAATACAGTACGGATGACAATCCTATACTATTTGTAGGTCCGTTGAAATCAGTGAGTTTATTATTTTAGGTATGAACTATGACACAGATTTATGTAAGGCAAAATAAATAACATTGAGCAGACGTGCAGAAGTAATATCTTAGATGGATAGCGTAGTAGACATGTTATTGAAGCATAGATTAAAGTGGTACAACGTTAAAACTTGAAGAAAAAAAACAAAGGTTATTAACTATGACCTTATCTTGATAGAACTTACAGCTTTCCATCTCGTAAACACAAGATTGGTCATCAAATGGAAAATTATGTAACTGCATAAAACAAGTAAATGTTCCAGTAACTCTGAAAGTAAAAAGATCTCATCTTATTGTGGTATGAATTGTATTTTAAAACACGCTATTATATATTTTTTCCAGACCATATGAGTATATGGTTAAGACCATATAAGTATAGACGGTATATGTATTTAGACCATATACAATATAGGTGTTTTAGAATAAATTCTACATTCCTTCGCATGAACACACAGCTCTTTCTCCAAACCAGAATCGGAACAAATTACTATCGGAAAACCTTTATCTTTGACATTTTGGCTGTATTTTGGTGTATCTGCTATCTCGCCTTCGCTAGAGTCAACTTAAAGCGCCTTTATTCTGTCGACATTTTCGTCCGTAGTTGAAACCACAAGCGTTTGAGGCATGATTTTTTCCCTCGGTGTTTAGATTATATTTTTTTGTGATTTTTTTCTTCTAATTTCTACTTATTTCAACTAATGGACGTGTTCTTGCTCATTTTCATACGATATACCAATTATAGTAGTTTTACGTGCTGCCCTCTATTCTTATTTCCAACATACGAATAGAGGGACAGCACGTATTAACTACAATTATTGTAAGATCGTATAAATAGGAGCACGAAAACATTTAATAACTATATTTTAAAATATTTCCAGAAATTTTAAGTTACTAAAAACTACAACAACATAAAGGGAAAACGAAGAAAAGAAGGTTGAAGGCCCCAAGTGCCATTGTGTAAACCAGTTGGCTTCATGTAGATATTTACATGTAAAATGCGTGTACTATAATTATAACTTGTGAGTAAAATGTACTTTATTTCATAAATCACATAACAATGATTACTATACATTGAATAAGTCATAATTTCATTTTTAGAAATTCTTAATTTATGACACATTGGAGGTTAACTGATCAACTTTCATCGTTTTAATAGTGTTACGTTGATCCATTCATTTGACGCGCAGTTTATATTTCGTTTGTGGTGTCCTTGTGTGCTGTCGTAAATTCAAGAGAGGTGTCCGTTGTTATTCTGCGGTTTACATGCTGTAATGTACTATTATATTATTCATTTATGAATTTCTCTGTGCTGAGTGTTCTTGCGTTTGTTACTGTATTCGTGTCCTGTCCTGTAGTGTTGTCATTTTAGCGATATTTTTTACATTGCATTATAAGCGGGAGGTTTGGCTAGCCATTAAGCCAGGTTGAACCCTCCATGTTTTCTTAAAATGTCCTGTACCAAGTCAGGAATATGGCAGTTGTTATCTACAGTCCGTCTCTATGTTGGCGTTGCTTTTGTTGTAGTTCAGTGTTTCTGTTGTTTCGTTGTTTTCCTCTTATAGTTGATGTGTTTCCCTCGGTTTTAGTTTGTTACCCGGATTTGTTTTGCTTAATCGAATAATGACTATTGAACAGCAATATACTACTGTTGCCTTTATTAATAACCTGGACCATAAGCGTATGGTCCTAATATTCATATGGTCCGGAACATATTCATTAATAAGTGACACCAAGATTCGAATAAATATTCATTACAATATATCATTTCCATTTCTAGAATTTTTAACTTAAGGCCAAGTTACAGAAAATGGACTATATCACAGATTTTTTGTAAAAACTTGCATAAAGCTTTGTTCAACATATTCGTTTTACTGATGTAAAATAATGATAGGGTCACCGACTTCGTTTTTACGATATACATCATTCAAAGTACTGTTCTAGGTCCAAAAATACCACTACACATCGAAATAAGCGTAACGCCATCTCGTTTTAGTCCGTAAAACGTCAATTTTTGACGTTTTTCACTACCAACTTGGTAACAAAATGGTTAAAACAACGAAACTGACTGCAACGAAATTATAAATAACATCTGGCAAAGAAATCTTACAAATACTTGCGCGACAATCTCACAGTACTGACATCATTTATTAAATAATCCGTTGGTTATTAAGGATTTATGAAGAAACTAATTAAGGCTCCAACCCTCAGGCATAGGTGACCTTAAATGGATTTAGCGATAATTTTTATGTCCCTTTTGGTCAACTAGCACTTCACGTGTTTCGGTGCTTATACATTTTTGTCTTTCAAATTTTGGGCTTCTGGGTTCCTGATGAAGGGAAATCCAGAAAAGTGCTAAGGAAGAATAATGTTTATAAAGTGTTATTTCATCTTTAAAGCACAGAGAGAATACAAACATTAAGACAACAACTGGACACATCAAGATATATGTTAGATAACTTGACTTGGCGTTGTATATGAATATGGCAAAAATATCGGGTGGATGGTATAAAAGTTAAACAATCTAAAGCAGGATGAAAGCGAGAAAATGAAGTAGCGTACATAAGAGAAATTATCTCAAGAACAAATAAAACATTACTGTAAAAATATAAAAAGCATACACACCAAGACAAGCTATTTTTTATATTCTCCACAAAACACGAGAGACAAACTCTGCTAATATGATTAAACTACAACAACATAAAGGGAAAACGAAGAAAAGAAGGTTGAAGGCCCCAAGTGCCATTGTGTAAACCAGTTGGCTTCATGTAGATATTTACATGTAAAATGCGTGTACTATAATTATAACTTGTGAGTAAAATGTACTTTATTTCATAAATCACATAACAATGATTACTATACATTGAATAAGTCATAATTTCATTTTTAGAAATTCTTAATTTATGACACATTGGAGGTTAACTGATCAACTTTCATCGTTTAAATAGTGTTACGTTGATCCATTCATTTGACGCGCAGTTTATATTTCGTTTGTGGTGTCCTTGTGTGCTGTCGTAAATTCAAGAGAGGTGTCCGTTGTTATTCTGCGGTTTACATGCTGTAATGTACTATTATATTATTCATTTATGAATTTCTCTGTGCTGAGTGTTCTTGCGTTTGTTACTGTATTCGTGTCCTGTCCTGTAGTGTTGTCATTTTAGCGATATTTTTTACATTGCATTATAAGCGGGAGGTTTGGCTAGCCATTAAGCCAGGTTCAACCCTCCATGTTTTCTTAAAATGTCCTGTACCAAGTCAGGAATATGGCAGTTGTTATCTACAGTCCGTCTCTATGTTGGCGTTGCTTTTGTTGTAGTTCAGTGTTTCTGTTGTTTCGTTGTTTTCCTCTTATAGTTGATATGTTTCCCTCGGTTTTAGTTTGTTACCCGGATTTGTTTTGCTTAATCGAATAATGACTATTGAACGGCAATATACTACTGTTGCCTTTATTAATAACCTGGACCATAAGCGTATGGTCCTAATATTCATATGGTCCGGAACATATTCATTAATAAGTGACACCAAGATTCGAATAAATATTCATTACAATATATCATTTCCATTTATAGAATTTTTAACTTAAGGCCAAGTTACAGAAAATGGACTATATCACAGATTTTTTGTAAAAACTTGCATAAAGCTTTGTTCAACATATTCGTTTTACTGATGTAAAATAATGATAGGGTCACCGACTTCGTTTTTACGATATACATCATTCAAAGTACTGTTCTAGGTCCAAAAATACCACTACACATCGAAATAAGCGTAACGCCATCTCGTTTTAGTCCGTAAAACGTCAATTTTTGACGTTTTTCACTACCAACTTGGTAACAAAATGGTTAATACAACGAAACTGACTGCAACGAAATTATAAATTACATCTGGCAAAGAAATCTTACAAATACTTGCGCGACAATCTCACAGTACTGACATCATTTATTAAATAATCCGTTGGTTATTAAGGATTTATGAAGAAACTAATTAAGGCTCCAACCCTCAGGCATAGTTGACCTTAAATGGATTTAGCGATAATTTTTATGTCCCTTCTGGTCAACTAACACTTCACGTGTTTCGGTGCTTATACATTTTTGTCTTTCAAATTTTGGGCTTCTGGGTTCCTGATAAAGGGAAATCCAGAAAAGTGCTAAGGAAGAATAATATTTATAAAGTGTTATTTCATCTTTAAAGCACAGAGAGAATACAAACATTAAGACAACAACTGGACAGATCAAGATATATGTTAGATAAATTGACTTGGCGTTATATATGAATAGGGCAAAAATATCGGGTGGATGGTATAAAAGTTAAACAATCTAAAGCAGGATGAAAGCGAGAAAATGAAGTAGCGTACATAAGAGAAATTATCTCAAGAACAAATAAAACATTACTGTAAAAATATAAAAAGCATACACACCAAGACAAGCTATTTTTTATATTCTCCACAAAACACGAGAGACAAACTCTGCTAATATGATTATAAAAAGGATATGGTGTATCAATTACTAATACAAAATCACTTCACGCACATGCTCTTTTTTCTATTCGCCATCTCAATGTCACTGAAGTTTTAACTAAGAACAAAAATTCCCATCTCACTGACGGTTCTAGCACCAGTTTGAGCGGATTTCTTTGCTTAAAGTCGTTCACGCTACATCTGTGAATGAATTTATTAGTATTTGCAGTGAATTATTTTTCAGTAATTACCTCGTACTGTATGACACAAATCCATCAGGATATAAAAACATCATTTTATTAGGTAGTGTTACTTGATGAACTTTGGTATCCATATCTGTCATAAAAGATAAGTCTGGTACCCAGATTTCCTTTTTGATTTCATTGTCCAATTCTATCTTAGTAAAATCCTCTGGTGCGTCATATTTCAGCCTAGAATCAGTCCATTGTTGTCGCAGGTACATACTCATGGAATATTTCTATGAAGTACAAATTAAAGACAATTCGTCTATATTTTAGCTACCATAAAAGAAATGTCGTTCACTTCTTCGTTTTCCTAAGACGAGGGTTATATAGAGACATTTATTGACTAAATGAGCATGTGGTGCAGACAAATTATTACCGTTAATGTTATCATGATAATGAATACTTCGGTATGGCAACATTTGAATTTTGTAATATATCTTCAGTTATTTCGACTTAAACTAAATAAAACAAATAGGATTTATATTATTGGAACCAAAATTATTTAGTTCCTTCCTGAAAATCGATCTTTATTTTATTGATATATTAATATGATGAGGTAGTTTGGTCAGTTAAGGACGGCAATGTTTATGATGAGCTTTGAAATATGTCTGATATATTTGATCGACATTGAAAATTTAGGGCAAATGTTTCAGCTGAATTAAATATGAACAACAGTCTTGCTAAAAAGACGAAAAATGTATAAATTAACTTATATCATCATCTTTGCTTTATGTATCTTACGACAAAAATATCTTTTCTTGGCATCATGGAGGGAGCAAAAAGAAAAGAATCTTTTTTATTATAAGACCAAAAAGAAATTACTACAAACTTATTCAATTCAATAAAAACTGATAGTACTAAATTTTATATAATTACTCCAATTCCCTTAATGCATTAGATCAAATGATTTATCTAAGTAGCGAAATATATAGTTACCGGAACAACATTGTTTGTTTTTTCACGGATTGTGATTGCTTTTTTATTGACTTTATGAATTATTTATTTTAATGACGATTAAGAGAACAATTCATATATTATAGTAAATTAATTAAAAAAGTCATTTGTACTGATAATATGAAATGTAATGTATATCATGAAGAACATAATTTTTTTATGATGTTTATTTTAAGCGAAATTTTAAACAAATGGCTATAAATTAATGAAACAAATTTCTGTTTGCAATAACACTATCATAATGAAATCATATTTATTTGTTAAAATCAATAGACATTAACATTTCTTTATAATTTGTTTTATGTTTAAAAAAATGATAACAGCGAAAAGGCCACGTTTGCGACGAGGATGCATGAAGTTTAAATCCGGCTTGTAGAATGCGGGTGGGGAAAAGAGAGAACCTGCTATGTATAATAAATTTATCCTATACATTTAATCTATTGCCTCAAACTTTCTAGATTGTTTGAATATGCAATGAACATCTTCTCCTCACTTTGTGTTTAAATCCTCTATGTGCTGAAACTCGGTCCTTTTTCAGCAACATATTCAGATTAAGATTGTTACACAATGTTGACTACTCTACCCCATTTCTTGACATTTTTTGCCTATTATGTCTGTTTTTTTGCTCACACATTATTGTCAATAAAATGGAATTCTATTATTATTATTATTATTATTATAACAAGGCATTTTCAAAGCGCATTATATAACAATACAATCACTCTAAGCGCTTTACATGTTAAAAAAATGTACACAAATTCTTACATACACGAAATTGCAAAGTAAAAAAAAAAAACATTTAAAAGCATACAAAATCAAATCAGATATACTAATTTCGGGCTCTAAAAACCTTCACCAAATTGGATAAAAAATGGATACAAAAAAATATCAATGAATAAGTAAAAATCACTAAAATCATTATCTAAACTACAAATTATTAATGCCTCTGGTCCTTTTTTTAAATAGCTTTTTTAAGGGATTGTTCATTACGAAGACTTGAATAGTCATAGACTTATCTTTCTTTTCTTTGCTGAATGCTACTACTTGGTATTCATAAAGTATATTACCGAAAGACAACGACTCATAGTAAAAAGTTATATCCAAATATATAGAAACACAACAAATCAAATTAAAAACTACTAAATATTATTGTAGAGAATCAACATCAGTCAAACACAATCAATCACAGATGTAGGTCTATACTATAAGCGATTCACTACAGCAACTTTGAATAAATGCCTCTTTAGTCATTTTTCAAATAGCTCAAGTGATTTTTCATTACAAAGACTTGCTGGAAGGTTATTCCATAGAGTCCCAGCCGCCACTTCGAACCTCCACTAACCATACATTTTGGTCCGTGCGTTTTTTTGGCTTGTCGATTAAAGCAGCATTTTCAAATCGCAAGGATCGTGCCGGTTTGTCAAACAAGTCAGAGGTTCAGCTAGCTATAAAACCAGGTTTAATCCACCATTTTCTACATAAGGAAATGCCAGTACAAAGTCAGGAATATTTGTTTTCCATTCGTTTGATATGTTTGAGCTTTTGATTTTGCCATTTCATAAAGGACTTTTCGTTGTGAAGTTTCCTTGGAGTTCGGTATTTTTGTTAATTTACTTTTTCGATAGATGGTACTCATTTATTTTTTTCTATTTTTAAACCTATATTGAGAATCTTTGAATAAACAACTTTGAACATGTGCATCTCACTTGATGTAAACATTCAAATATTTTTTTTCTTCAGAATGTCCAATGGGTAAAAGTTTTTTTTTTTTCAATTTACACTAAAATTGAAGACGATTTTAACCAATAACCTCCCACATGAAGCTTAAATATTTGCTGGTTGAAAGTAGGATTTGGGTTTGTTTACTAGAGGGTGAGAAACGTTTAAAAAGATTCAATAGATATATTTTAATGACAAGTTCTTTGCAGACATACTGTTCTTAAATCACGCTTAGCTATATCGAATTAATATATGGGATCATAAAAGTTGGACCGAAATTGGAGGTGAGCAACTAAGTAACAAGTAAAACAAAAATATGTAAAATCTAACAGCATGTAGGAGCTCATTAGGTAACACCTGCATCATAACTTATCATGGTAACTGTTTATTTCCCTAGGTTTGCATCAGTTTTTGTCACGTGTATTTACTACTATTCCATAAGGAACTCCCTTATGCATATTTAATGCTATTGACATTTATATGACCTTTCAAAATACAAACCATGATATGTATTACAACCTGTCTACGAAAAATCAGGTGTAGCAGGTGGCAGATCGGTAGATCGAGTAGGGAAACAGATAATCTCTGTTTTGTGTCATCAAGTTCTTCTGCAGTTTTGAACCTGTTGAAAATGTTTGAATTTACGTTAAAATGTGCACCTCGCTTTGGTCAATGTCACTGCAGGTGGACGCTTCGTCCCCTACGGTTTCACCAGTCCAGCAACTAGCAGTACCTTTTTGTTGACATGAAAATTATTAATACATTTTTATTCTGCAAATTTACTATTTACAAAATTATTCTAAACACTTACTAAAGGTTATCCGAGGTATAGATTTCCTAAGTCGTATTTGGTAATAAGTTTTCGGACTTTGGTTTTTAATACTCTTCAACATCATATTTTATATTGCATTCAAACTGTTATGAATCGAGCGCTACTAGTGCGTCTTATTATGAAGAAACGCGCGTCTGGCGTACAATTATAAGACTGTTATCTATGGAGACTTTTTTGTTTAAAGATTTTGAGAATTTTTGTAAATTTTTTAAATGCTGAAAATAACATTCACAATGAAGGAACCCCATTACTGTGAACAATTCCTCCTAATGTTTAATATCCAACTTTAAGAATGTTTGTATATAAATAAGAAATGTTTACCTAAATTTTTATACACATTTTGGGAATTTCTTCCAAAAAAAAAGCGAATTTCTATAGCCCGAATCGTAATAAAAATAATTTTAAATTATTATCAGAAAAGTGTTACACTCTTAAATGAGTATTATTATGTTAAACAATATGTTTATTATGGTGAATGATTTAGCGATTTACACATATCTTTGGCTGAGTTATGGAAGAAAAATTAAGAACACACGGTTTATAGATATAAGAAGATGTGGTATGAGTGCCAATGAGACAACTCTTAGTTCAGCTTTTGAGATTAATCATCATCGCTGCCTAGTGGTTTTCGTTTTAATTATGCATTCACCAATTGAAATAAATCACGCTTCTATTCTTTCAGTGATGTTCGTTTTTTGTTGATGATCTTTTATTGATCGTTTAATTTCGATTTGAACATTATTTTCGCAAAAACTGTTGTAATATTTTTTTTCTCATTATCATGAGAACAATTCGAAAACTATTGTTTGTTATGTTTTCCAAATACTGACAGTTGCAATATTTCTGACAAAAGTAAGTCTAGTTTTTAACTGATGACAAAGCATTTTGCTTATTGGTATTTATTGGCATAATTATTGAAACCTGAAGATATCCATTCCCATGTTATGGTGCAGTCAATTGTAAAAGGCTTATTACTATCTTGAGAATAATCCAATATTTTAACTGCTTTTAATTTTGAAATTTTATCTCAGAGATTAACACGACCATGTGAATATATCAAAATGACATACCATCTGCGCTTCATCGATTCCAAAGATTCCAACAACATAGATTTGTACTTTAACTTCTACTGGTTGCGCTAAAAGCAATAAAATGAAAAATATTGAATTCACTCTTGTTAAAATTTCTTTTTATTTTTGTCTATTTTTTTTAGAAGAATCTATTATCAGGAACACTCAAACCAAAAAAATAAACAAAGCCTAGAATGTTGACGTGATTCAATTACAGAGAAGCTATATAATCAATTGGGACATTAAGAGAATATAGCCAAATCAATGTAACGTCAAATTAGCCTCAGGCTGTTGTAATCTTTTTTCTGAATAATTTGTAAATACATAAAGGAGAAATTAAGAAAGGTATGTTATAAAATGAAAGTAACACTTTATAATTTCGTGCATCTGATGCGCTTTTTTTTGGAGTTACCGATATCAGAAACGCTCAAACCTAAATAGTTTAAAATCATGTACGTACCGAAACACAGACAATTGAGCGGATGATGATCACGGGGACTAAGGGGGTAATAAAAAATTAAGATTCGAATAAAATTAGACAACATTATTGCAAAAAGAACTAACAACAGTCTACAAAACAATAAAAACTACAAGGATTTAGCAACACATATCGCCCCAAAAACTGGGAATGAACTCACGTGCTCCGGATGGGTTGTTCTTATTTGTTAAACAAACCAAACTGAGGAATATACACAAAGCTCTAACCATAAAGATGGAACATAAATAATTGTAATGGAGACTTTATTTCATAAAGTAAATAGTGAAAACTAACCTTTATTGTACAGTGGTGGAAATCTTTTGTCATATTTCGATAAAATTTTCTCTATGATATTCTGTCTGTAAAATAAATGAGAACAAATAAAAACATATTCCTCATTTAGACCAGTGTTTATTACTACATTTTAAAGGTAATATAAACACAAGCAGAAATCTAAGTTAAAGTTCGACCCGTAATTATTTACGTACTGTATTACCGCTATAGTACAAAGGCATTTCTGAGATTTGAACAGTCTTAAAAAAGAATTTGTACGAGTTGAGTGAGGTAAACTATAAGTACCTGAGCATTGTATCACTATCTGCCTCATTTGTTGTATTATCTCTGTAACAAAAAAAGATTGAAAAATTAAAAAGTGAAAAATCTGAAACATTTTTGTGAACGAAAAAATAAAATAAAATAACAGTCAGGAACAGAACAGAACAGAAACTACAATTTTACAAATGACGTATCATGGCTTATATTTTCATATTAGATAATATAACTTTGTAAAGTTACTTGGTCATACTAATATTGACTATTTGACTTGCATATAAAGCAAGATACAACCCTCTCACTAACAAGATAGTCATAATGCTGGTGGACTATTAGTCAGCAAGGGTATCATCTACTCCGTCGTGAGTGCTTCGAGACTGATATGATTTATAAAAAAAAAAAAAAATCCGTTGATAGATTTGGAAATAATGAAGAAACTAAGACACCCAATCTTTCAGGGAAAGTGATCTTAGATGAATTTGGCTATTTTGGGCCCCTTTTTGTCATAAAGCTCTTCACGTGTTTTGGTCTTATACATCCCTGGCTTTCAAATATTTTGGTTTGAACGTGCCTGATGAAAGTAATTCCAGAAAAGCGCTACGGACGTACGAAATTGATAAAGTGTTGTTTACATACCGGACATGTAACGAGTATAGTTCTCATCGTTGGCAAAGAGTATACAATGGTTTTTATAGAATCAAATGCATCTCAAAATCGCATGTACTAGTATATGCCAAGTTCTTAATAAAAGAAAAGACATCAAAGATTAGTTTTTTTTAAAATTGTAACCTTATATATGTTAAGATTATAAGATGAACTCTTTATCTCAATTTTAACGACTGTCGGTTCAGAGTTTATTGTTATCCCTTTTCATATATTTGTTTTTTATTGATATCATTTGTAGTAAAGTGTCCTTGAAGAGATAAATACCCCGCACTTTTAAATTCAGGTTGGAAAATTGATTGATCAGCTAACCCAAATATTCGATGACATTTGCATTATTTCAATTTAAAGTTGTATTATGTACTTTCAATGGAAATGAAGAAAAGTAAGAGAATAAACTATTTAACTGTCCCCCATAGTTGCATGACGCAAAATTGTACAAAACAACGGAGATAACAAACAGTAGTTTTAGTTATTTAAAAGATCTGAAAGGATGCATAGGCTTGTTAAGGCATTGACAGAAGTATTTGTTTAATCTGGAAATTATATTAGGGAACACCATATTACGAAATGAAACCATAGGAACATATCAACTTCTATTGTCTTATAGTAATAGCATAATACTACAAAAACTTGTTCAGTTCACAAGCCATATGTTAATGTGCCGGTCTCAAGCCAGGAACCCCTGTCAGTCGAGTATTCTAATTATCTCAGTGTTTTAGTTCTTTGAAGAATGTAGTTTTAATAGCAGACTTTTGTATGATTTTCAATCAGATAAATATCCATAAACACCGGTGAATAAAAATGTGAACAAAAATTAATGACCATATATTGATTGTCGGATTTGTTTTGTGTCGGTGCTATACAACCATAATAGTTATACACTGAGGGATAGGTGTGTCTGAATAAGAAACACCGACGGCCGGAGGCCGTCGGGGTTTCTTATCCAGACACGCCGTATCCCGAAGTGTATAACTAACTTACACCCGATGCTAAACCCTATATTTGTTTACATTGAATATTAAATGAAAAAGAACGGATAGCATTTTCATTGACAATATCAGACCATGATTAATAAAAAAAAAAGTGTTTTTTAGATCAAACCCCACTTGTTACCCTTTTTTGACGATCTTCATTCAAACTTTGACAAGTGAGTAGATTTTACAAATGTCAAAGTTACCGTTTTGCATATTCCCGTTAAATCCATGTGCTAATATGGATCAGCAGGTCAAAGTTGACTGTATCGTGCATTCTTAATACAAATTAAATACATCATGCTCCTTGTATGCGGTTGTCAATATGGACGGGTATAAGACGGACGACATTTTGAGTCAGGCGTTGGATTTGGTAGAAGAGACTAAAGATAAAGCCAATACTTATAACCCAAAATACTTACATGTATCAGTTTAATGAAGGTGATCATAAATGTATTTTACACGCTTAACATGCAAAAATACAGATTGCATATGTCAGACCCCCTTTTTTTGGGCCATCCAAAGGGGGGGGGGGAGTTCCGGGAGTTGGAACCCCCTTTTTTACGATCAATACTTTAGAATGGAAACATATGACTGGAACCCCCCTTTTTATCTTGGGTTGGCACTCCCTTTTAAAACTGGTTGGATCCGCGCCTGGGCGCCATCATTAGTCTTCAACAATCCAAACATTAATATTTATTTTATGATTAAGAATTAGTCCAAATGAAAACTATATGTTTTTAATGTATACATAAAAATTCTTTAGATGTATGTTCTTTAAGATCATGCCATATGGGATTAATATTCTATCTTCAAGCAAAAGAGTATTTAAATGATTTTTTTTTATTCAAAATAGATGCTAAATATTTTTTCACAATTGGAATTTCCTGAAATATGTTTTTTAGTATGTCTTGAAACAACTTGTAGTGAACACTATTAGTAATCTCTAATGTTCATGCTATTAAAAAAAATTCTATTGTTATGAATAACAATGGACTGTGTTTTCGAGATGTAGAAGCAGGGGTTTCCAGAAACCCCGCTCGTCACACCCTGTGGTCAAAATCCATTGTTGTTCATAACAATAGATCTATTCAATTACACTTGTTTCAGAAATAGAAACTAGGATGTATAACAATAAAACTGGGGTGTAATATATTATATTTTCAACATGTATTCAAAAATATCTGAATTCAGAGGATTTAAAATTAAAGTACAGTCCGAGTTAAAACTTTTATAATTCAAAAATGTGTAAAGGACTTTAGATATATTACAAAAAAAGATACCAAAACCATCTATAGTTAACTTTGCCTGAGAGAGTTGAAACCTCGTTGTTAGTAAAAATCAAATAAATTATCATTATAGAATAGGCTAAATATATGTTACTGTTTATTGTTTACAAGGCAATTCTGTTTGTAAATGATAACAAAAATACAAGTGTAGTCATTGGTTTTCAAACTCTATACACATCAATTATCTACTGAATTTTTGTCAACATTGTAAACAAATTTTGGATTTTATTCTATTTTTAAGTTTTGGATTTTGATCTCCAGCATCAATAATAAGAGACATTAATCGTCGAAATGTCTATTTAGTGCAGTAAAATTAGTACCGTTGATTTTATCTTAAAAAAGGGACGAAAGATACCAGAGGGACAGTCAAACTCATAGATCGAAAACAAACTGACAACGCCATGGCCAAAAATAAAAAGACAAACAGACAAATAATAGTACAGATGACACAACATAGAAAACTAAAGACTAGGCAACACGATCTCCACCAAAAACTGGGGGTGATCTCAGGCGCTCCGGAAGGTAAGCAGATCCTGCTCCACGTGTGGCACCCGTCGTGTTGCTTATGTTATTACAAATCCAGTAAATAGTCTAATTCGGTAGGTCACATTCGTGAAAAGGGAAGGGTATTGTAGTTACGACATAAGATATCCGATATCATCTGTGAAACGGTTATTCCATATTCTTAAAGTGTAGATTAAGGTATTGAAACTTGTATATTTATTTCTACAACATAATTACATTACATATATGTTTCACGAGAATTCTTTAGTTTGATTGGCTAACAACAATCGCGCGTCATTCAAAAATTAATCTTCATATCAAAATGAAATGTTACATTCGTGATGACACGTGCTTCTACAAAAAAATGCACAAGTAAATAAAAGAAAAACACTTGATATCACTAATCTTTTTTTAATGGTCTTATTAGCATTAAAATGAAATTATAAGAAATGAATGCTTTTTTTCAATTTTATTGGGGTGTAAAAGTGTTGAATCGTGCACACATTTTTAGAATGGAGAGCTTCATGCAAAATCTGCTTCGGTCAACACTTTTACGCCCCAATAAAATTACAAAAAGAAACATAATGATTCATTTCTTAATTGAACCATACTGACATATATAATCTGGCAAACCTACCTTTGAAAGTCTGTTTGATTCAATCCCATAACGACGTATCGACAGACACACAGGCAATTGAGAAAACAAGCTATTAGTAAAATGTCCATTTTGAACAACATTCCTGCCTTTGTCACGTTATTCCTGCAAATAGAAAACATTTATGATATTCCAATAGTACAGTCAACAGCAATTACAAATTTGACCTTTTTTGACGGTACAACGACATTGTTGTAAAAACAAACATAAAGTTAATGAATAAATATCAATTAATGTAGTGATATATCGATGAAGTTAATTTTTAACCCGTCTCCAATTGACATCGTATTCAAATATTTATATATTTGCAATGTTTCAATATGTTGGTCAATACAGACAATAAAGGGATCACGAAATATAGCGAAAGAACGCCCATTTCAGGATACTACTCTAGATTCTTATAATTATCGAGTTGCACCGGAACTCTATTTAAATTATGTTGGTGGCAAAAAATTATTTGAAATAGGAAAGTAGTGCAAAAGGTTGAACTCAGAACATTTTTATTTCCCATAATAAATCTGCAGCAGTAGTCGGTATTGTATGTTGTGATTGATCATTGTTTAGTAGTAAAAAGTTAATTAAGATCTTCAAAAGTATACTACCAATAACATGGTTAATAGAATTTCATGACAGAGCAACAGTTTTTCTTGATTTACCAACATAGGTGTATTTTCATTGGTTCTATATTTTATTGTTACTTTGATCTATCATCAGGAAATTTGTGTATCCCTTAGTAAAAATAATGTGCAACTCTCTCAAGAACCATTATAGGACTGAATTGGTTGTAGCCATCATGTATTTACTACTAAATATACTTAGTTTTCAAAAATTCCAATCTTTTGACTCTAAATGTTTTTATAGAACGTAAACAAAGATGGAGCATGACATCACGTTTTATTCTTAATTAAACATTTCGTCGATATCTTCTAGTATAAAATTCATGTCAAAGGGCGTCTTTTGTTAAGTGGATGAAAACAGGAAACTGATTAACAACTTGTATTTTGGTTAATTATCAGTTGATAATAAGGGAATACCATTTTGCTAGCCAAGTGTAACGAACCTCTCCTCTCCTCTCCATTCTCAGCAGAGTTTACGATCTAGCCCTTCTCTCCATCCTTGGCAGATGAAGCAATGATTTGTGACATGGCCAAGAGTGACGATCCCATCCCTCCTCTTAATCCTTTGCAGAGTAAGCAATAATTTGTGACATAACCAAGGGTAACGATCCGACCCCTCCTATCCACCCTTGGCAGATTAAGCAATGATTTGTGACATGGCCAAGGGTTTCGATCCCACTTCCGCACCTCCACCCTTGACAAATTAAGCTACAATTTTGGATATAGCAAAGGGTGAAATCCGAGGCCCTCCTCTCTACCTTTGGAATATTAAACCAGAATTTTGTAAGATAAGAGGGGTTGGATCCTAACCCTTTACAAGCGACGATGAGTGTACTAGTATAACGAATGTACTTAGAATTTCAAGGTTAATTTTTATGACAATCACTGTCTATAATTACTGACTTATTAGGAAGAAATTCATCTTAAGGTTATTTGTGACGTTTTTGGTTGCTGTTTCATTGACGTTCTCTCCACATCTCTTTTTATTCGTATTCATATATTGATGTCGGTGTGAATTATATATGTTTTAAGGTAGGGCTGGTTTTCTTTTCTTGAATTTTTGAATTCATCAGCTATTTTGAAAATAAAACTGCTGTTTGTTTTTGTCAAAATGTCAATCACTACATATTTATGCCATAACAATAATATCACAATTGAAATGTGTTACCTATACTGATCCCACTACTAGTATAACTTCCCATGTGATTATCAATAAATTTAACAAATTTTTAAAGCATTTGATAATGTTTTCTATTCTGATCATACATTGTCCCCCATCACTAAATTTTGATTAAATCTTCAAATCTAAGTATACAGCGGAAGATACTTTAAGATATTGTAACATATAGCATACTGAGTTTGGTATACGCGGCCACAGAAGGTAGGCGTTGTTTGAGGCTGCCTTTTTGATAACGTTGCCTTATGTTCAATCACATATAAATTTCCTTGCTCTCTTAATTTTGATTACTTATACGACCCACTAATGGTTGAAACTGTGAAAAGAAAGAAAGTTATCATTTAACTGTAATTTTTTTACAATTAATCATATCATACATTGATAAACTTAAATCAAAAAAGGAATATACTATTTTGAAGCAAACAATTGAAACACATATGCCCTCAAGGACAAAAGGACAATCCTTGTATTAACCAGCAAGACTTAGAAATTAGCTTTGAAACAATGTGTATGCTTTTTGTGGTGATTTCATTGAAATTAACAGGCCATTACTTGTATATCATTGCTGGTCAAGAGCGTCTTTCAGGTGTGATTTTTTCAATCTAGGAGTGTCATTTAAGAGTTAAGCATTTCACTTGAAATTTTTTTTGTCGCATCTTTTTTTACCTTTTATTATCCATCGTTTTATGTCTGTATATCTGTTATTTTTACGGAACGATAAAATTGAGAATGGAAATGGGGAATGTGTCAAAGAGATAACAACCCGACCATAGAGCAGACAACAGCCGAAGGCCACCAATGGGTCTACAATGCAGCGAGAAACTCCCGCACCCGGAGACGTCCTTCAGCTGGTCCCTAAACAAATATGTATACTAGTTCAGTGATAATGGACGTCATACTAAACTCCAAATTATACACAAGAAACTAAAATTAAAAATGATACAAGACTAACAAAGGCCAGAGGCTCCTGACTTGAGTCTTTACACTATTGAATTTTTGGCTATCTTTCATGGAAAAAAATAATATAATTAACTCTTTTGTGTGTTACATAGTACAATGTCAAAATAAGCCACAAAAAGTAGAATAATTTGTCACTTGAAAGTTAAAATTAGCCTGATGTTACTATTTAAACATCAACAGAAATCACATTAATATTGACATCACCAGGAAAGCTCTGAGAGCAAACGTTAAGGCAGAGTACATTGTTAGATTTTACATTCAGATATTTTACTTTTATTAATCGTTCTATAAATACGTATACATTCTGTACATGAAATTAATGTTTAATAAATAAGCTATTTAGCATACAGATTTGATCTTGTAAATAATAATTCATAATCTCGGTGTCATAAAATCTATTAATTGAAAATGTGTCTTTGTAATTGTATTTAAATAGTTAACAATTACTTTCTATTTAACAAAGTGACTGCTTTCCCATAAACTGCTTGATACAAAAGTCAATTTAAATCTCATTTAGTTTGTCCAGTTTAAACACACGTCATGGCCATTGTTATCGGTATCAAAAACTGAATTAATGATCATTTTAAATTATATTTCATGATTTAAATCAGATGATCGAAACTAAACTACTCAAAATGGTGGATACTACACCAGACTGCTAGCTCTCTATGATTCTTTAATATTGATTTATTTTTACTACTTAAGAATGTTCTGTTTAACCGATACTATATAGAGGTAGTGCAAATTTACAGAGATAAATCAGAAAGTTGGAAACTGTACTGAAAATAAATATAGTTTTATAGTTTAAAAAGATTTTTTTATTTGACGTATTGCCATAAAATCGAAATGGTAGCCAACGCCACATGTAGCTGCTAAAGACAATTTCGTCATTTTAAAATGTTTTTGTAAACTTTTGCATCAACTGACAGTTCTTACTTAAATAAATTGCTTTGTATATGAAAGGAAATACATATACATAGCTTTAAATCCGATATTTTGTGTTTGTTTTTTCTCATAAATGTTTTCTGATAAATACTCAAAATTTGCCAAAACTGCATTTTTTTTTATCAATCTTTAGATATTCGAAACATAGTCACATGTTTAGAAATCAGACATTACGTTGTTAGAATATCATTATTTTCATTACTGTGATTCTTAGTCAAGATTGAGTGATTTTTTCAATTTTGTGTTAAATAAATTCAGGGGAAATTGGCCCAACCGCTTTCTTTACTGATTTGTTTTACTGAACGTTACCTATAGTTATTCAATTGACTGACTGATGTAATTGAATTTGTGAAGAGGGATTAGAGTGCGATTGAGTATTCTTAAACGTTGAATATCGAGAAAAAAAGATGGTTTTGTGTCTGTCTCGTATCAAGTACCACGTCAGTGGATGTTTTTGTTTGGATCTTAGTGGGTTTTGTCTATTAAAAACAATAAATTTGATATGATCTTTTGTAGTCTCTTTAATTCACAAGAGTAAAAGCTAAGGATAATTCAGAGAGTTTTTGATCTCCAACTGTCTTCATAGATTTTCTGTATTATCAGTCGTCTATATCCAAAATCTCTTTTTTTTCTTTTTTTAAGACAGATCAACACACGATAGTAGGCAACATAAGTGTTATGTAAAACAGTGATTATAGTAGGTGACACAAGTTGTAGTGTTACGCTTTCATTATATACACTCAAGACCAAAAGTTTAGGAGCCAAATGCACAAAACGTTGGCGATCGTGTGAGAAAAATGTGTATTTTCGCCAGAAATCAGTAATTAAAGGTTATGTTACTGAAAATCTATAATTAGACCAGGACTTAAAAAGCATAATCCATTAAAAGTAATTACGTCGCCAGAATGATGGTTGAACTATTAAATTTCTATTTACTATTCCTAATGCTAAAAAAATAACAAATTGAAAATAAAAACCGATACATAGAATAGATATTGATATATTAGTATGCATTAGAAAGAATTTCAAAGCAAACTTACTTGTCCAAGAGTATAGTCCTTGAATAAAATTATGGTCATATTAACAGTATAACTTCAATATTTGGATAATCCAGACTGGATATAAGCTCACAACAATTTCAAATATCGTTCGAAAAAATCAGTTACAATTAGAAAATTCACATAAGTCAATACGTGAAACGTCTATTTGTGTAGAATGTCTTGTTTGTTTACATAAACGTTATGATAGTTTCATTTAAAACTACTTTGTGGTAATAACTTTAAAACTTTTAATTATTCAATATGCATTTAAATCTGGGTTTAGGAATTATTCATTGTCAGAATTCATTATTTAAAGGAAGATTTAAAGGTTCCTTTTGTCAACAAACCACTGATGTTTACATTTACATGAAATTAATTCCCTTTCAATAAAGGCTAGTGCTTATTTAATCAGGCTTTGTACTTTTACTTTTATTGTATACGAAATATTTCTCGCTTTGTTTCAATTCTAAGTTTTGTCGATCAATTTGTGATACTTGTTAGCCTTTCTCAAAACTTTATAGAAATGGTTTATTCATGTATGCTCTTCAACTTCGTACTTTATTTGGCCTTTTTTTTCTAGTTTTACTTGTGAGTCTTTTAAAGACGAAACGCATGTCTGACGTATAACATTATAAGCCTGGTTTCTTTGATGACGTTTTTCATTTACACGGTGAATTTTTTCCCCGTCTTAATCCAATCGCTCCACATATACTAATATACTAGTAAACCAGTTTTTATCTGAAACGGTCAGTTCGATCTGAACAATCTTAAAAGACTGAGCAATAAGTTATTACGTCATTCTTAGTCTTTCAGTCAATTTGCAGACACATCCACTGCGGTAAAATCAGTAATGTTCCGACAATTCGCTTGCAGCCAATTAAAATATGCTCAGTTTATATTCAGACTATCCAGTTGTTTGTCACCTGTACAAATCAAAATAATATGAATTGTATGAAAAGCTATTGAACAGTACTGAATTGACTGCAATCGAATTGTCTACACAGTACACAATTTACCACAAGAGAACACTGAACATGACTGTTTAGACAATTCGATTGCAGTCAATTAAGTACTGTTCGGTAGCTTTTCATGCAATTCATATCATTTTGATTTGTACAGGTGACAAACAACTGGATAGTCTGAAAAGAGGCGAAAGATACAAAAGGGTATATATTAAGTCACAGGTCGAAAATAGACTGACAATGCCATGGAAAAAAATGAAAAAACGACAAAAAGGCAAACAGTACACAAAACACAACAAAGAAAACTAAATACTGCGCAACACGAACCCCACTAAAACCGGGGTGATCTCAGGTGCCGCGGATAGTAGGTAGATCCTGCTTCACATGTGAAACCCGGCGTGTTGCTCAAGTAATTACAAATCCGGTGATAAGTCTAATTCTGTAGGTCGTATTCTATGAAATGTGAACGGGATTGTGGTTACTACAATTGGAACATATCCGTCGACATCTGTGAAACAGATATTCCATAACGGTCAACAAACTCGTGATGGCGTCAGTAAAATTTGTAAAGAGATGATTTCAACTTCACCACTTGGAACTCTTGGATTAATAGGATTTTTGTAAGCAGCAACCATCTATTAAGGAAATCATGATAGGAAATGCAAGCTCTGGAATATCGTATCAATTGGAAGATATATACTCCATATGCAGGAACTGCTGGAATGTTGCTACGTAGAAATGGAAAGTTCACAACTAGGAAGCTTAAATCATCTCTTTTCGTTCTCGGGCTGATATGTTTATTTCTTATGAACAATAAAGCTACAAAGACCTCACGTTACACGATTCTTCAAGCTCGTTCCTACTGAAATGTAGTTAGAAACACACTGGTAAAAAGATACAGAAAAGGGCTTTATTGTTGTTATACACTTATGCACATTCACAGTTGTACAATCTGTCGATTCCTATATTTTAGCATTGCACAAGGTCATGTTTTGCTCTTACTGTAAATGACGTATTTATACTAAATCCATCGGATGTTGGATGTGTACTAATTGATATTTCATTCTCAGATACATAATTTTTTATTAATTGTTATTAGATCTGACCTAGCTGTCAGTAACTCGAGTACTCTCAAGTCTGTATGTGTCTTTTTTGGTGTTGTGTGATGAGTGTATAAATTTCCTGCCACGTCCGGTCTGTGCATTTATTGAATTTGTTTTTGCTTTGTATCGATCTGATGAGTTTTGCCCTTTTCAACTGATTTTTACAGTTTGTGCTTATGTTGTACTGTAACAACACTATCCAAGGTTAGGGGGAGTTTTTTGAGTCAGCAAACAGGTTTAACCCCACCACATTATTCAAGTCCCAAGTCAGGAGCCTGTAGGTCAGTGGTTGTCGTTGGTTTATGTCTGTCATATTTGTTTTTCGTAAATTGTTTTGTTATAAATTAGGCCGTTAGTTTTCTCGACTGAATTGTTTCATATTTTTCATGTCGAGGCCTTTTTTATCCGACGAAACGGTATTTGTTTTTCTCATTGTTGAAGCCCGTACGTTTGGTTATAATTGCTTACATCCACTTCATTTGAACTTTGGTAGATAGTTGCCTCGTTTGCAATCATACCACATCTCCTTTTTTATATTGGTCGCCAAACTTGTAGTAAGCTGAAGGTTTCGAAAAAAAAAGAAATATTATAGAAACTCAACAATGTGAAGAAAGAAAAAAAATTGCCGATAGAATTTTGAAATACCATTCGGGTAATAACGTTTAATATCAATTATTCGTATATTTTAACTAATTTGATTCGTTCAGGGATAGTCACATGTTAAACTATATTTTCGAAGGTAGATAGAAAACGGCGGATAGCAAAAAGCATATTGCACGGTTATTTTAAAAAATCTAAAAATAGAAATCTAAAAACCAATATACTTATTGACGCATTCTCAACAACCAATCAAATGCTTTTCTGCATTACTTCCGGTACAATCACAACAAGCAGACGTTAGCTAAATGGCCACAAAACGAAGATTTGCATCCCTCGAGGACGAAGATAGGGAAAATCTATTAGAAAATGTGGATGCAAAAAATACTAAGAGGCAAACCAACACAGCTCTTAATAGTTTTCGTGAATATTTAACGGAGAAGAGCCTACCACAATGATGAACTAACAAAAAATCATCAGACAGATAGTGAAATGTCTTCTGATGGTAGGATGTATGAAATCAAAAAAATTAAATTTTTATGTCTAAATTAATATGAGGCAGGCATTACCTGATGAGCTCCAAAAGTTTTTTAAGATTTGTATATCAGGAAATTATTCAAGATAAAGGCTGTCAATGGATCCAGGGGGGAAACAATATCTTCCCGCGAACTTACCTACCTTCTTGTCTTAGCGCAAGGTGGGAAGCTTGGTTTCTACTTCCAATTGAATAAAAAAAAAATCTTGTAAGTGCAGGTACACAACTCGCCATTTCTCCAATATTTATAAAATTATGAAGAAACTATATTAAAATACCTAAAAAAACACATTTATAATGATATTTGCAAACGAGAAGCTGATGATACCAAAGGCACATTCAATCTCGTTATTCGACGAAAACTAAAAACAGCCAAAATAAAAGATAAAAAAAAACCAATAGCAACTTATGATAAAAAAAACCATGTCTTTACTCTCAAGTCCTATATCATTTTTTACTTAGTTTTTCTGTTTTATTGGTATATCAAAATCAATATATTATTTGCATATCTCATTTTTGTTTCTCAATATAGACAATATTGTTTTATTTTAATTTATTTGTCTTTTCAGGTAGTGACCGATGTCCAGTACGGTCGTTTGTAAAATATATCCGCCGTCTCAATCCAAAGTGTAATAAACTTTTTCAACAGCCAAAATCAGCAGCTATAGAGGGGATATATTATGACAACATTCCCCTTGGACATAACAAGCTCGGCAACTACATGAATGAGATAAGCAAGGCAGCCAATCTTTCAAGAGAGTATACCAACCATTCTTGTAGGGCTACAACTGTCCACATTTTTGATGAAGCACAAATTCCCAGTAGACACATTATGAGTGTCACTGGTCATAAATCAGAGGCATCCTTAAAAACATATAGCGGTAAAACGTGAGAAAAAACAAAAAAAGTGATGTCAGTGACATTAAGTGAAAAAACACTATGCAAAACATCTAAAGTTACAAAACCGGCCACTTTGTCGTCAAATATTGATTATTTGTGTCTTTCACAAACAAGTGTGACCGTTGAAACTGAAGCAATATCAACTGCCCCATTTGGCTCTTTCAATTTACATCCATTGTCCGACTCCCAAACTCAAAACCTCATTAATGATAGCATTCCTGAATTGGCAGCTGATGATCATGATGATGGTATGGATGATTTATTGAAATCCCTTGAAGTTCCAAGATGTATACCAAAACAGTCAAACTCAATTGATACTGCTAGTATTAACCAGAAAGCTATGCCAGTTCCAGTATTCAATAACTGTTCAAATATTACTGTCAATTACAACTTTTTTCAGAAGAATTAATGAAAAACAAAGTGTTTCAGAAATTTATTCAATGTTTAATTGTTAAATTGTTTAGTCTACCAAGAACATTAGTTAAATGTTTCAATTGTTTTTGAATTGTTGGCATATTATTTATGAAATACCTTTTAAATTTCATGATATTGTTAATGTTGGAATAAATAATCATCATATATTTCGTTCAACATGGCTAAATCAATTATTACATCTTATAAGAATCTTTAAATATTTAGAAAAGAACAGATTTGGTGAACAAGTCAAAGAAACAATTAATATACTACCGTCAAGATCAAATCATAAAAAATACAGATTCTTATGCACTGACAATACTTGTGAATTAATAATATAACAATTGTAGCCTTTGTATGAGGTCGATACAGGATATATCGACCTAAAGAAGTATATCGACTTCGGACTTCATCCTCAGTCGATATACTTCTTTCAGGTCGATATATCCTTGCATCGACCTCATACAAAGGCTATAATTGTATATAATCCTTTCAAAACAATATAATTGTTATTATTGCTTTTATTTACGTCATTTGAACTCTGGGTTAGCTGTATCATTGGGATTCATACCACACCACTATATTTTTATAAAAAGGACGTAATTTTAGCTACTTGCTTACTAATTACAACCCCGCTCAATAAAGAAGGCGGCAATATGTAAAGATTGCTGATTATCAAGTATTATTTTATTGTTTT